CTTGCATCTGCTGTTTCATTCTCTAAATGGCTGCAGCAGCCAGGGCATGGATTCCAGGCTAAAGCCATGAGCAAGAAAATTTCTGAGTTTCCCCTGTGAGTGTCAGGAACACTAGCAAACCAGGCTCATGAGTTGCCAGCGTCCCTGGCAGTGTTTCACCCATTGTACCCCACCTTTCTTGAATTTGCTCTCTTCCTATCCTCACTTGGTTGTAGACTGTGGTGCTCTATATACCAAAGTAGCCTAGTCTCGGAAATCCTAAAAGACCTACCAAATCTGTCCCCCCAAGCCCCCTGTTTTTGTGACACAAGTTCTAGCAACTTGCTTTTCTGCTTGGAAGAAAAATAACTGAGATAATGGCACAGTCAGTTTCAGTGGGATTTATTGCCTGGTCTGTTGTTTGTGTGTACCTTTAAGAAAGCATCTAACGGGCCCAGCGCAATAGTGTAGGGGTTAAAGTCCTCACCTTGCACACGTTGGGATTCCATATGGCGGCCAGTTCTCATCCCGGCAGCCCTGCTTCACTTCCCATCCAGCTCTCTGCTTGTGGCCTGGGAAAGTAGTTGAGGACGGCCCAAAGTCTTGGGACCCGGCACCCATGTGGGAGACCAGGAAGAGCTCCTGGCTCCTGGCTTCGGATTCGCTTAACTCCAGTCGTTGTGGTCACTTGGGGAGTGAACCATCAGATGGAAGATCTTCCTCTGTGTGTCTCCTCCTCTCTGTATATCTGCCTTTCCAATAAAAATAAATAAATCTTAAAAGTATCTAACATGCTTATCACTTTATATTCTCAGAGCCAATTAGCATAATGTCAGTATGTTGTATTAATGTGATGGGGCTAAATATTTCTCCAGGCCCCATTTTAGTAGGGCAGATGCAAGGTTCATAGGCTTGTGAGAGGCAGGTAATAGCGGAATGCATTTTGTCCTTGGTATGGAAAGAAAAGCTAATAGCCATGTACCTTGTAGAGTCCCGCATTGCTGTGTCTGCTCCACAGTCTGTACCTATGACCCTTCCAGCTTCTTAACAGACCAGATTTAGAATGTAAATAGAAATGTTACATATATAATACCACCCCTTGTTTCTTTTGGGCCCTCTTTTTTTGGCATTAATCTCTAATTCTGTCATGTGTGGCATTGCCTTTCACTTTATATATTAGTAAGGAGGTAATTTCTTAAGTATTTCCGCTTAGGCCTTTCTATTGTAATAACTCTTATCAGCTGGCTGACAGGTTGCTAGCAGCCAGTATATCTGTCCCAATTTTTCGCTCAGTTACTGAGGAAATAACTGCAAAGTAGGTGCCCTGTACAGCACCCGCACCATTACATGATTGCTCTAAATACTCACTTTGATAGGCTGCAATCACATTTTGAATCTCCAGGAATTAGGAAGCCCTGAGAGGTTTAATTCCTGTTCTCTGAACCATAGCCATTTTGGTAAATTGCCTTTTGGCAAGCTTGGATGAATGTTTGCATGATGTACCTTTGGAAATTCTACAGGTTGTTTGTCCCGGGGACTGGATCTGTGAAGTTACTTACCTGGAAAATGGAGCAGACATCATGACTTTTTAAGTCAGATTTTTATGATCAGAGCCAGAGTTGTTACTCAATTTATTCACTTTAAAACTAGGCTGCCTGTGAGGAAGGGAGAGCAGGGTGAGAAGTATCACTGTGTTCCTAAATTTGTTTTGTTAAATATGTGAAATGTGTGCACATAAGATAAATGTTCGAAAAACCATCAAGTAGGCTGCCTGTGGAACATCATAATCTGTTAGCTGCAGCTGAAATTCCTGTGGGCCAGGGCATTCTGATTGCTGCAACAGCCCACTTATCTGTATAAGTATGGAATCTGTATTATCTTTGATGACTAATTGCTGCCATTTGGCCACTACTTTGCTAGAATGCCAACATATTGAGATTAGGGACAGCAGTCTGGTGATGACGTCTCATATGGTCAAACTAGGGCTTGTAACGGAGAACCAGTATGGCTCTAGGCCTGTAAAACCTAAACTGTTTGTTTGTGTCTCCTTGCATAATCTTTACCAAACGAGGTGTATGGTACAAGAATACACTTCAAAGGAGAATGGCTCAGATTTTCAAGGATGGATTATTTCCCCTCATAGCTGTGTCATTCTGCCATCTTTATTTCCTTCCTTCCTTTCCTTTTTTTTGGAAAGATTTATTTTTATTACAAAGTCAGATATACAGAGAAGGGAGAGGAGACAGGAAGATTTTCTGTCCGATGATTCACTCTCCAAGTGACCGCAATGGCCACTGCTGTGCTGATCCACAGCCAGGATCCAGAAACTTCTTCCAGGTTTCCCACATGGGTGCAGGATCCCAAGGCTTGGGGCCGTCCTCGACTGCTTTCCCAGGCCACAAGCAGGGAGCTGGATGGGAAGTGGAGCTGCCGGGGTTAGAAATGGCACCCATATAGGATCCCGGTGTGTTCAAAGCGAGGACTTAAGCTGCTAAACCACCGTGCCGGGCTCCCTTTCCTTCCTTCTTACCTCCCTCCCATATTCCTTCTGTAAAAATAATCATTTGTTTGAAAGTAGAATTAGAGAGTGAGATAGATAACTTCATTCCCAGATGACTGCAGCAGCCAAAGCTGGGTCAGGCCAGAGCTAGGAGTTTCAGCTGGGAATCCTGTGTGAGTGGCAGGGACCCAGGTACTGGAGCCATCACCTGTTGCCCGCAGGGTACACATTGGCATGAGGGTGGAACTGGATTCTATCTCGGGCACTCCCAAGTGGGGTGTAGGTGTCAAAAGCTGCATCTTGATTCCTGCACCAAATGTGCACTACTATTATAATTTCTATCATCATTCTCAAGTGTTACGTCAGTTACCTTCTATAATCAGATTATTAAAGATCTTTGAGTAATTTGTCCTGCTGAGAATGATACTTCATCCTCAGTTTAGAACTGTACTATCAATTTTACGTGGTTGCCTGGAATAAATTGGTAGAATGAGTAAATGTCTTTAACAGTGAGGTATGGATATAAATGGTGAATGATCATGTAATTGCCACTCCAGTGAAGTTTATGGCTAATTGTATTCATTTTTCTGGCTTTAAACCATAAGTTCTACCATAACTTAAATACTTCTATGCACAAATATAACCTGGTGATGTGAACCTAGGAATAAGTTTCATTATTAACTATTTAGATACTTTTGAAGAAATGTTTTAGTTACTATTTTAATTACTATGGAATTTAAATTATTAAAATAATGATACTTCATTTTTCTTTTTTCTTTTTTTAGTAATAGTACTTTATTTACTAATCTGAAGAGCCTAGTTTCTCTTTTTCTCTAATTAGGTTGGTTATACATCATGTCATGGATCTGTGACAGTTCTGATTTAGCCTGTTACCCTGACCTAATTGTTAGTAGTTGCTTTTCCTCTCAAATGTGTTAGAGTACTCTGACCAGGCATATATAGGTCTGTGATCCTGATTTTTTAAATGTAAGTGTATGTTGTGTGCTAGTTCTGAACACTTAGATAAATCATTGTACATGTGGATCATAATATTTAGCAGTTATTCTGAATAAAATTAAATGTAACAACAAGTATTGCAAAAAGCAGATTCTTAATTGTAAGTTATATTTAAAAAAAAACAACCTTAGAAATGGTCATTACTGGGCCTGGTGCAGCGGCCTATTGGCTAAAGTCCTTGCCTTGACAGTGCTGGGATACCGTATGGGCACTGGTTCTATTCCCAGCAGCCCCACTTTCCATCCAGCTCCCTGCTTGTGGCCTGGGAGAGCAGTCGGACGGCCCAAAGTCTTGGGATTCTGCTTCCATGTGGGAAATCTGGAAGAAGCTCCTGGATCCTGGCCTTGGATCAGCTGAGTTCTGGCTGTTGCAGTCATTTGGGGAGTGAATCATCGGATGGAAGATCTTCCTCTCTGTCTCTCCTCCTCTCTGTATATCTGACTTTGCAATAAAAATAAAATAAAATAAATTTTGAAAAAGCTTCTAACAGAATAGTTATACTGACAGCAAGTTGAAATATCTATGACTTTTTTGGTTAATATTATTCTCGCAGTTGAGAGCCTGGTGTAATAGCATAGTGGTTAAAGTCCTCGCCTTGCACGCAGTGGGATCCCATATGGGTGCCGGTTCTAACCCTGGCGGCCCTGCTTCCCATCCACCTCCCTGCTTGTGGCCTGGGAAAGCAGTCGTGGATGGCTGAAAGCCTTGGGATCCTGCACCCATGTTGGAGACCCGGAAGAGCTCCTGGCTTTGGATTGGCTCAGCTCCAGCTGTTGCGGTCACTTGGGAAGTGAATCATCTATCTTTCCTCCTCTCTGTATATCTGACTTTCCAATTAAAAAAAAAATACATAGTTAAAAGGCATTCATGGCCATAAAATTAAACTCTTCTTTGGGAAGATAAATTAGCATAGCAATTAAAGTGTTGATTGCTTGTTTTAAAGATTTACTTATTCTTATTGGAAAGGGAAATCAGATTTATGGAGCGAAGAAAAAAGATGGAAAGATCTTCCACCTACTGGTCCACTCCCCAATGGTTGTAATGGCCGGTAATGAGCTGATCTGAAGCCAGGAGCCAGGAGCTTCTTGTAGTCCTCCCATGCAGTTGCAGGTGCTGAGGCTTTGGGGCTGTCCTCAGCTGCCTTTTTTAATTCCAGGTTTCTGTTAATGTGCAAGTACCTGATTCCCTGTCACAAATGTAGAACAAGTAGTTGTGTTCCTGACACCTAGATTGAGGTCACAGCTGCCAACTTTGGCCAGCTTTCGCCCTGGTTGTTGCGGGTATTTAGGGAGTGAAACACTGGGTGAAAGTTGCACTTCTCTAAGATAAATGTTACAAACCGATGTTTTCAGAAATGTGTATTGCGAAAAATGCATGGATTTCAAATTTTTTGTTCACCAAAAAAAAAAAATTCTTAATTATATTTATTTCGTAAACATTTTGGAATATGCTGTGTGTTTTAGAAACTTGACTGTAATAACTGTTTTTGTATGTCTGTTTTAAGGATTTGCAACTCAATTTTTTGAAGAGAAAATGGCCTACCAGGAATACCAGAATAACCAAACCTGGCCAGAGGATACAAACTTTGGTTTCCAGCCTGAGCAGCTGTTGAATCCTGCCCAGAACGGTAAGCCCAGGCTTCCCGACGGCTGCACTTGAAAAGCTGCAGTCAACACTCGGGTGAAACATTCTGAGTCTCACTATGGCTCAGAAAACACAACTAAGGCATAATGATTAACCCAGAACATTCCATTGATCCTTTCTTTTCTCTGTTCATTGTTTCTTCTGAAACACCAAATACCCTGCAGTTCTTTTTCTTTGAAAACTTATTTTGTATAACTTATCTAAGCTTCATGTACTATGAAAAATAGGACCTTAATTCTTCCAGAAATAATTACAGCAATAAAGTAACATTTGTTGTGGGCCTTTTGTACTAGACACCATGCTAATGGCACTTATTGATATTATCCATGTTCCTTACCTAACTGCCAAATATATGGTATTATCCTCATTTGACAGCAGAGAAAACTGACTTGTACCCAATTCCTTTAATTAAAAAAAAAAAACTGATCTGTAGTTACCCAGGGCTAGATGCAGTAGGCGGAAGGAACTGCCAAGGAGCCTCAGCGGAGTAACTTTGCTGCCTCCATTTCATGTGGCCAAGTTCAGAGCCAAGTTATTTGTTTCCATTGTTTATGATATAGATTTTTCCATCTAATTTATAATGGACTTATGGTTAGTTAAAAAAGAACTAGTATTTATGATGTTTCCATACCATTCTCTATATAATTATTAACCTTGCTAGATATAATAATTTTTAAAATGTTAGAATGACAGAATGAGTGTTTACAGTTCACTTTCAGAATGTCTTCCATGGTAAGGACCCTGGAAACCCAATTTGGGCCTCTCACGTGGGCCTCCCATGCCTACTTTGGAAGGAGCTAGAATTGGGTATTAAACACAGATAAATCCACTGTGGAAAGCAGGTACTCTAGGCACTAAATTTAACATTCACTCCATAATCCCATTTAGCACAGTATTTTTAAGGTTCAGGTATTGGGGCCGCTTGTACCGTATTTCAGTTATCTTTAAATATATACAATACTTCATTGGCTGGAGCATGTTTTGTTTATCTGGACATTTGGATTGTTTCCTCTTTTTTTTTTTTTTTCCTGGCTTTCTATAGGGTTTTGTGTGGCCTTGGTTTTTTGTGTGGGCATGTGTTTCATTTCTCTTGCAGTGATGTCTAAATTGGAATTGTTACACATATGGAGACCATATTTAATCATTTGAGAAATTGCTACGCTGTTTCCAAAGCAACTACATAATTTTACATTTATACTGTAGTGAGTAGTATGTTTTTGCATCTCTCCACAACCTTAATTGTGTTTATTTCCTTTAGAAAAAAATTCTACCCAACTTAATGGATTTGAAATGATCAACCTTTTGTGAATTTTGTTTATATTTTACTATTTTCTGGTGATGTTGAGAATAATTTTATGGGGTTATTGAGCATTTGGATATATTCCTTAAAAAAACATGCATTCAGAGCTATCAGAGCCATTGCCCCCCCTTTTTTTAAAGATTTATGTATTCTTAGAAGTTTTTTTTTTTTTGATGATTTTTTACATAGAGATTTATTAAGTTTATTTTTTTGTTGTCTGTTTTTTTGGGAAAGTCAGATTTACAGAGAGGAAGATCTTGCGTCCAAACATTCACTCTTCAAGTGGTCTCAAAGGCTGGAGCTGAGCCACTCCGAAACCACTTGGTTGCTAGGCTACGTTGCCGGGCCCTAATCTGAATTCTTACATTTTATGTTTTGATCCTTTATGTATTAAGGAATTTCAACAGTTTATGATTGAGGTAGGTGTTGTGGTTCAGGGAGTTATCATAGGTTGGAATGCCAGAATGCCATATCAGAGTGCCTGAGTTCAGTTCCACCTGCTCCTGTGCTTGGGAGACAGCGCTCCACGTACTGCCTTCCCACCACAACTTCACAGACCCAAATAGAATTTTCAGCTTTGGGCCCAGAACAGTAGCTCAAGTGGCTAATCCAAAAAGTACTGAGATCTGCTGTGGGTGTCTGTGCGCATCATGGCTACTGCACTTCTCAATCCAGCTCGCTCCTTATAGCCTGGAAAGTAGAAGAGGATGGCCCATGCCCTTTGGACCCTATATCCACATGGAAGACCCAAAAGAAGCTCCTGGCTTCATCTCACCTCAGCTCTGGCCATTGGCAGCCACTTGGGGAGTGAACCAACAAATAAAAAATCTCCCTTTGTTTCTTCTTCTCTCTGTAAATCTGATCTGCCTTTCCAATAAAAATTACATAATTGCTAGCTTTATCTTTTAGGCATTTGGGGAATGAACTACTTGATGGAAATTATTTGCACTCTGCCTTTCAAATAAACAATTAAATCTCTAAATCAGAAAAATAAAATTAAAGCATTAGTTTATTGCAGAAGTGACATTAGCCTCATAGTTAAGATAACATATTCCACATTCAGTACCTGATTCCACTTTCCCATCAGTGCATACATACCTAGGCCCTGGGAGGCAGGAGCAAAGACTTGAGTAATTGCTTGCTCTGTGCAATTTGGACCACAGTGGGCATTTAGAAAATGAAACAGCAGTAAGGAGCCCTCTCTATTGCCTCTTTCTATTTTGTCTTCCTCCTATATAAATAAATAAATAAACAATATTTCTATTTTTTTTTTTTGAAAGGCAGATTTACAGAAACAAAAGAGAATGTTCATACACTGGTTTACTCCCCAAATGGCCACAGCTGCTGGAGCTGGGCTGGTCTGAAGTCAGGAGCCAGTGACTTTGTTCTGGTTCTGTTTAGGTGCAGGAGCCGAAAGACTTCACCCATCCTTTGTTGCTTCCCAGCCCATAAGGAATTGATTCAATCAGAATAGGAGCAGCTGGAACTTGAAATGGCACTACTATGGGATGTTCGTGCCAGTCGGAACTTAACCTGAATGCCACAGTGCCTAGTAATTAAAAATAGGCATTTTTCATAAACTGTCAACCACTCAAGCAATACCCTCGGAATATTCTCCTCATTGGGGCTTCTAAGATGACTTCAGGTAGACATACAGCATCACTAGATATTGATGTAGTTTGGCAGCTGGGAGCGTCCACCTCCCCTACCCTCTCCCAGAAAACAGGAGAAAAATGAAGAAAAGGAAAATTGGAAGCATTTGTCCCGCCCACCTTCCTGTATACCTTGACCTAAAGAATGTAAACAACATCAAAACTTAAAAAAAGAACTGGAGTAGCTGGGGCTTGAAGTGGCACTTATGGGATGTTGGTGCTACAAGCAGAGGATTACCTTGCCTGCAATCCTCTTCTATCTTGACAGTTTCTACAATAAATTTGAAGCTGGAATCTGCATAGGAATTGGTGTTGCATCTGTACGTCATTTAGAGGATATTTCCATTTCATTTTTTTAAAAGGTTTTATTTATTTGAAAGAGAAAAGGATAAACAGAAATGCAGTCGCTGCAATGGCCAGTGCTGGACCAGATCCAGGACAGAAGCCAGGAGCTGCTTCCTCCTGTCCCACATGCCTTAGGGGTTCTAACACTTGGTTCATCTTCTGATATTTTCCCGGAAGGTAGCAGGGGGCAGGACCTGAAGTGGATCTGCTGAGACTTGAATTGTATTGCAGACAATGTCTTTACTCACTATGGCACAAAAAATGCCCCTGTATTCCCATGTTTTTTTTAATAATTGGAAAGGGATGTATGCAGAGAGGAGGAGAGAGGAAGATCTTCCGTCAGTGTTTCACTGCCACAATGACCAGAGCTGAACCAATCCAAAGCCAGGATCCAGGAGCTTCTTCCAGGTTTCCCACATGGGTTCAGGAACAGGCTTTGGGCCATCCTCTATTGCTTTCCCAGGCCACAGGCAGGATTTAGAATGGGAAGCAAAGCCACAGGGATTAGAACTGGTGTCTAAATGGGATCCTGGCTCATGCAAAGCGAGAACTTTAGCCACTAGGTTATAGCTCCAGACCCCGAATTCCCATCTTAACAATATTCTGTCTTCTAATATGTGAAAATAAGATATTCTATTTGCTTATAATTTTTCAATACCACTTTGTAGTTTTCAGAATATTAGTTTTAGACTTCTATTCTGTATTGTACTGAATGTAATTGCTTTCTTAATTTCCCTTAGAGACTCTTCTTTACATGTGTATGGAAATATAAGTATTTTTGTTTATTGATCTTATCTTCAAGCCTCGGTGAATTCATTTATTAGTCTCAGTTATTATTTTTTAATGATTATTTAGGTTTTTCTTTTGTTTTACAAGTTTATTTAAAACATGAGCAGATCAGAGATACACTTGGGGGATGCTCACAAGTACCACATTTTTTTTTTTTTTTAAATAAAGGATAGGACCGATGTTTCATACTGGGTGAAGCACCACTTGCAACGCCAGCTTTATGTGTTGTTGAGGTTGCAGATCTAATCCAGCTCCCTATAATGGCCTGGGAACAGCAGTGGCACGTGTTCCGAGTGCTTGGGCCCCTGCACCCACATCACCCACATGGGAGACCTGAAGGAAACGCCTGGCTTCTGTCTTTGGATCTTCTCATCTTTAGTTGTTGCAGCCATTTGGAGAATATACCAGCAGATAGAATAACTCTGCCTCTGTCTTCTTTCTGAAATTCTGTCAAACAAATAATCTTAAAAAAAAAAAAAAGTAAGAGGAAGATGAGACAGAGAAATGTTCACTTTTTAAAAAAGATTTATTTATTTATTTTGGAAAGGAAGATACACAAAGATGAGGAGAGACAGAGAGGAAGACCTTCCGTCCCATGAATCATTCCCCAAGCAACCACAATAGCCAGAGCTGCGCTGATCCGAAGCCAGGACCTTCCTCCATATCTCCCATGTGGGTGCAGGGTCCTAAGGCTTTGGGCCATCCTCGCCTGCTTTCCCAGGCTATAAGCAGCGAGCTGGATGGGAAACGGGGCTGCTGGGATTAGAACCAGTGCCCATATGGGATGCCAGCGCATGTGAGGTGAGGACTTTAGCTGCTAGGCTATCGCACTGGGCCCAGAAATACTCATTCTTAAGGAATGATGTAGATGTCTGAAACAGTTGAGGCTCTGAACTGAAGTGATGCAAGGGAATAAAAAAGTAAAAGATATTTGTTGTCAAGGTCCATCCACCATTATTTATAGGAATTTATGGTAGTTAAGATATAAACCAAATTTTAAGATGGCTTCCTTAATTGAAACGCATAATTCTCAATCAGCCTCATTGCTGACTCTTTGCCCCCCCCCCCCCTTTTTTTCTTTTTTTAATGTTGGGAAACACTAAAAGTGCTTTTATGGATGCCTTTATTCATATCAACTCTGAACTTGAGAGACAAAGCCTTTATCCAATCGTTCATTCCCAAAATACTTAGGAGCCAGGAACTCAATCCAGGTCTCCCTCAATCTCCCTTAGGATGATTCGCTCCTCAAATGGCCACAATGACCAGGTTTCGGCCAGGAAGAAACAAAGAGCCAGGATCCTCATTTGGATCTCGTTTGTGGATGAAAGGGGCCCATCTTTCACTGCCTCCTCAGGGGGATTAATGGGGAATTACTTCAAATGAATGTTTGTTTTATAATTGTTACTATGTATTTATTTTCTCGATAGAGATGAGCATCAGCTTTCCTTTCTGTTGCACATATTTGTTCACTGTCTCCTTTAAAAAATGAAATTTTACAGGGTAATGGAATTTATCATATTTAATCATAACAAGTCCATTAATAAACATTGATCCCCTCTGTTGTGCTGTCTCATTAGTTCAACTTAATTTATTTATTAATTCTAGCTAGTTGATGTTCATCATAGGATACTAAGAAATGTGAACCTTTCCAGTCACATTCATTGGGAATGAATTGTGGATTTCTTTTTGTTACTTCAGATTCCTTTCAGATGCACCATGATGAAGGCCTGCAAGACTTGCTCTTTCTCTCCAGTGGGGCAGCCAGTGCTTCAGCATTTACTGGGCAGAACGATCCCCTCAAAGATAGCTATGGTAATGGGCTCTTTAACGGGGTTTGTTCTGTATACAAAGAGAAGTAACATTTCCTCTGTGCATCTGTGTTCATTGGCTGCAGCCTGCACTGCGAAAGGCAGATTACTAACAGAAGAACTGAAGTTTAATGTGTGTATTTCATTTACTCAGAGATCACATAATTCTGAAGAAGGGAGCTTTAGAAGTCTTCAGAGAGCAATAGGCTCTTTGCAAGGCAAAAAGATTAAGGAAAAAGATTTGGAGTCGTTAGGAAAGGCAGCTAGTGGGATCCAATCAATAGACAAAGGCTGGTCAGGAAAGTGTACGACACCGATACCTCTGGTGCCAATTCCTGGCTGATGAGGACATAGAGTTATTTGCAGTAATCTGTCTCTCCTTTCTCCTAACTGGAGAAGTAAAGGGAACACTTGAGAATGTATGTCCTTTTTTGGGGCCAATAAGGAGAGAGCAGAGAGTTTTTTTTGGCATCCTGCTTAATTCCTTTAAACAATCCTTATGCCAAAGGAGCATATTGGAGGGTGATATATTTTGGTCTCCCGCAACTGCAGCTGACAGAGTGGCCTTTTCACCTTTCACCCTTGGAGTTAACCAGGTGACAAAGTGAAATATAGGTGCCCTGGCAAAATTCTCTCTAATCAAAGGATAGACGTTATGTTTGAGCTCAGAGACTGCTAACTTCCTGATGTAAAATCTCAAGTTACATAATTTACATTCTGTGCTCACATTGTACTACTTCATAATCTTGAGCATGTTACTTCCCTCATTACATTTGGCTTCTTTCTCTATAACATATCGACCTTAAAAATGTGATAGCTAGTAATTATGTACAACTCATGTGCCATAGTATATTGCACATGGTTAAGATTTAATATATTGTAGTTATCTATAAGTAATAGTATCTTCTGTGCTGGTTTTATGTAATATGAATGTGTCCAGGACACCCATTGTTGGCAAGTCCCACTTGCAGTTTTGTATTTGTAAGGGTCCAGATTCATAATCTCTTTGCTCTGTACTCATCTTTCCCTGAAGGCCTCTCAGGAAGGATGTTAAGAGAAGTTAGTCATTGGTATTGACCATGGTCCCTAACACTTGGATGCTGGTTTGGAATGGTGGTTTCAGCTCAGTATGTAGTGAGTCATTTGTCTGTGTTGAATTTTTACATCATTTTTCCTTCATGTACATTCCGCTTGCTTTCCCTGTGTAAGCCTCCATTATTTTGTATCCTGACCACCTCCCCAGTAATCAAATAAGCCTTCGTTCTCAACATCTGTTCTCATCTGCTTTGACTGTACCCACTGATCATCCTGAATCACCCTGTTCTCTGTTTATCTAATTTTCACAATTAAGATCTTAACTGACCCCCTGCTCACTTTTTATTTCAGAATTTCTCTGCCTTAATTGCCAAGATCCATTTTTGTCAAATTTTCTAATCCTGTTTTTATTTATTTATCTATTTATCTATTTTAATTGTAAAGGCAGATTTCAGAGGAGGAAAGACAGAGAGGAAGCTCTTCCATCTGATGGTTTATTCCCCAGTTGGCCACAATGGCCATCTGATCCAATCTGCAAACAGGAGCTCTTCCAGGTCTTCCACGTGGGTGCAGGATTCCAAAGCTTTGGGCCATCCTTGACTGCTTTCCTAGGCCACAGGCAGGGAGCTAGATTGGAAGTAGGGCTGCCAGGATTAGAACTGACACCCATATAGGATCCTGGCACGTTAAAGATGAGGACTTTAACTGCTACGCTAAGGCACCAGGCCCTAATCCTATTTTCTTTTTCTTTCTATTTTTTTAATTTTACTTTTGATGATGCTTATATTGTTAATTAGGGTGAGAAGGATCCAGGATTAAATGAATGTGATTGAGACCTTTGTAGATCCAAATTTTCTTTTTCTTCTTTATCCGGGGGAAGGGGCAGAAAAGTGGAGAAGTCACACCCAGCCTCCCAAATTGCCTCAATACCCAGGGATGTGGAACTGCCATCCAATGTCATCCCAGGGTCCCTGATGTGGAGCAAGTTTGAGGGTTCTGTGCAAGTGATTTCCATGGTTCTGAGATGCTGTCAGTCTTGCTGATCCAAAGATGAGGAAATCCTTCCAAGATCCATTGGCTGACATAGCCCACCTTAGAGTTTCCATTTGCCCAGATATTTGCTGTCATTCGCCTGGCAGGGTTAGTTGTCCAATTTGTTCTGCCGTCTTTCCTCTGCTATGGTTACCAGATGTCCTCTGCAGGCTCCAAATGAACTGCCATATTCTCCGTGTGCATCTGGGTATACTGTCCACTGTTATAAGCCGCTGAGGATGCCCACATTGCTGCGAGACTTAAGGACTTCAGCCATCCTCTACAGGCTTCCCAGCCCATAAGCAGTGAGCTGAATTAGAAGTTGAACAGCCAAGTTACAAACTGCTTTCTGTATTGGATGATTGTGCCACAGGCTTAACATACTATGCCATGGAGCCAGCCCTAAAATAAACATATCTTTTACTTGAATTTTTATGAAATTTCTGAAGTTTTAATCAAATTAATCTCATACTGCCAGAAACATTATTGTTCTATTCGTGTCTTTATGTAGTGTTCAAAATGTTTTTCCTTGAAATTGAAATTGAATACCCCCTCCTATATTTGTTTTTCTCTCTCTTCTGAACCCTTTTATATGTTTTTTGGTCCTTGAGGTTCTTTTTTGAACTCTATAGCACTTAAGTCCATACTATAGACATTTATTATTTGATATATGTTAGAATTTCTCTGATCCTTTAAAACTTGCATTTCCACATAGTTTTGTTTTAATGTTGGCAAGATATTATTGTCATTGATGAAAAGATTAAGGCTCACAGTACCTTACTATGCACTGTATTACATTGGTCATGGTATTCGAGGTAGAGCTCAATATGTTGTGTTTGAATCTTTATAATATGTTGTAAAAGGTAGTCTGTAACAATGCTTAATGGCTCTAGAAGAGAATGTTGATAATATACTATCAATTAGTAATTAGCCAAAACCTCAAAATTGACAGTAATGTTTCCTTTGAGGCTTTAATGCCTAGTTTTTATTGGTCCTTAGATTTAAATATTTTGCCAATGATGGCTAAATTTGAAAAATTTGCTTATTTTTCAATATTAGGTCTGTCTCCATGTGATGTCTTGGCTGCTGAAGCAGTTGTGCCTCAAGGGTGGTCTGAGGAGGCTGCCAACTCTCCACACTCAGCATCATTTGTTTCCTCAGAAGCCACTACACAAACACAGCAGCCAACAACAGGTAAGTTAATAAAAACTCAGTTTATCACTTCAAGGTTGTAATAGCAATAACTAGTGTAAATTATGAGATATATTTTTAGCAGCTTGCAATAGATAAAAAGTTCAGAACTATCAGTGTGTTTATGTCAGTGATATTATAGTGTGAGGAATTAAATCGTGGTTGAAATGCAACATTGAGGTAAACGGGCAAAGAATATTCCTTTAGTGCAGTCTTCATTCTGACTTATTTGATAAAATACTCATCTGCAGATTGGTGCGATGGCCCCACTGGCTAATCCTGTAGTGGCAAACGCCGGCATCCCATAAGGGCACTGGTTTGAGTTCTGGCTGCTCCACTTGCCATCCTGCTCACTACATATAGCCTGGGAAAACAGTTGAGAACGGCCCAAAGTCTTGGCAGCCTGCACTCATACAGGAAACTTGGAAGAAGCTCCTGGCTTCGGATCAAATCAGCTTGGCTATTGCAGAAGTTTGGGCACTAAACTAGCGAATGGAGAATCTTTTTCTGTGTCGTCTTCTCTCTATAAATCTGCCTTTCCAATAAAAACAAACCTTTTTTTTTTTTAAATTCTAATTTATTGGGAGTTGACCTAAGCAAAAGCAAAAACAGTAGCAGTCCATGAGTCAAGCATTCCTTCAGCAAGAGCAGAGCCAGAGAACTCCAGCCAACAGCATGATCAGACAGTTCTCATAGTTACAGGTAATCCCATGTGAAGCATTTTTTATTTGGGCTGTTGAGCCAAGTGCATGTACACAGTTGAAAGTGATAGCCTCTTAACAAATCAGTTTAACGTATTTTAATTTACTAAAGGTTGGAGCTGTGAGAGTAAGGAGAGTAATTTTTTTTTTAGAATAAATATTTATAGGCATTAAATTAGAACTCCCAGAGTGGGAGAAAAGAAAAAATACATATTTATTTATTTACTTGAAAGGGAAAGACAGAAGGAAAAGGATTTTCCATCCTATTGTTCACTCTCAAGACAGCTGCAACGGCTGGAGCTGGACTGATCTGAAGCTAGGAACCAAGAAGTAGAGCCATCTTCCATTGCTTTCCCAGACTCATTAGTAGGGAGCTGGGAAGATAAGTGATTCCCATATAGATGGTGGCACTGCAGTCAGCTGCTTCACCTGTTAATTGCGTCACTGTCCCCTGGGCAGAGTATCTTAACTAGACAAATTCTTAGTTTATGTTTAGGCTTTTTTTTTTTTAAAGATTTATTTTTGTTATTTTTTTATTGGAAAGGCTGATATACAGAGAGGAGAGACAGAGAGGAAGATCTTCCGTCCAATGATTCACTCCCCAAGTGAGCGCAACGGCCGATCTGAAGCCAGGAGCCTCTTCCGGGTCTCCCACGTGGGTGCAGGGTCCCAAAGCTTTGGGCCGTCCTCGACTGCTTTCCCGGGCCACAGGCAGAGAGATGGAAGGGAAGTGGAGCTGCCGGGATTAGAACCGGCGTCTATATGGGATCCCAGGCGTGCAAGGCGAGGACCTTAACCACTGCGCCACTGCGCCGGGCCCAATTTAAAATTTTTTTTAAAGATTTATTTATTTTCATTACAAAGTCAGATATACAGAGAGGAGGAGAGAGACAGAGAGGAAGATCTTCCGTCTGATGATTCATTCCCCAGGCAGCTGCAACAGCCAAAGCTGAGCCTATCAGGAGCCAGGAGCCTCTTCTGGGTCTCCCACATGGGTGCAGGGGCCAAAGGCTTTGGGCTGTCCTCAACTGCTTTCCCAGGCCCCAAACAGGGAGCTGGTTGGGAAGTGGAGTCGTTGAAACACAAACCAGCGTTCATATGGGGTCCTGGTGTATGCAAAGCAAGGACTTTAGGGCAACTAGGCTATCACACCAGGCCTTATGCTTAGGCTCTTGTCACAAAAGCTAAATACTCTAAGAAAATATTAAGTGCAAAGTAGTGAGTAGGCAGTAATGAGTCCTAAATTTCCAATTTACTTTCTTTAGAGCTGGCTGAGCGGATACATGTAATATCAGCAGAGGAATCATCGGAAATAGCGATTGGACCGAAGACTGCTGACAAGGCACCAGTCACAGAAACAGAAATGGCGTTGATGAAAGATATGGAACCACCCACAAAACCAGAAATGGCCTTGGCTGAGGAGATTGCACCAACCACAGAATCACAGAAGACACTGGGTGAAGATACAGAATCACCCACTAAATTTGAAGTACTGGCCAAAGACATGGCACCAACCATAGAATCAGAAATAGCATTGGCTAAAGATACAGAACTACTTACTAAATCGGATATGGCACCATCCAAGGACTTGACACCAACCTCAGAATTAGAAATGTCATTAAATGAAGATATAGAACTACCTGTCCAATCAGAAGTGACACTGGCACAACCATCCAATGAATCTGATATGGTCTTCTCCAAGGACACGGTACTCCCTGTAGAAACAGAGGTGGCTTCTGATAAAGACATTGTGTTAACCAATGAAACAGCGCTCACCCCAGCCAAGGATGTGACATTGTTCAAGGAAACACAGAGGGCACCATCCGTAAAAATGGACTTGACCCCAGCTGAGGGCATGACTCCACTCAAAGAAAGAGAGCTACTCCCAGAAATAGAAGTGGCAGTGGATAAAGAAATGGTATCATCTCCAGAAATACCCTCAAATAAGGAAATCACGCTGTCTGGGGACTTGACACCACCCCCAGAAACCCAGGTATTCTTGATGAAAGATGCTGAGCTTCCCCTGGAAAAAGAAGAAACCTCAGTCAAGGACATGACTCCAACCCCCGAAGAAACAAAAGCTGTCACAGGCAAGGATGTGACTGTGCCTCCAGAAGCAGAAATGACCCTTGTCACCAGTCTGAGTCCATCCCTGGGGAAAGAGGAAACCCCAATCAAAGAAGCGCCTCCGACTCCGGAAGCAGAGGTGGCCATGGCAAAAGGCCTTCCTTTACCCCCAGAAGCAGAAGTAGTGCTGGCTAAGGATGTGTCTCTTTCCTCTGGACCAGAAGTGACTCTGGCCAACAGTGTGACTCCAACCAGGGATGCTGCAGTGCTCTCAGAAATAGAGGTGGCACCAGTTCCCGTTGAAGATGTGGAGATCACAAAGAAAGGGGAAGGAATGAGTGAGGATTCCCCAATAAAATCCCTCCTGAATGTGGGACCATCAGCTGCACCTCCTTCCATGACATCATCAGGTAAGGATTCTGCTTGTTCCCAATGTTTCTGTCACACCGCTACTTCTGCCGATGACTGAGACAGACACCATGCCAGGTGAAAGTGAAGACATCACTCTGTTGAGACTCTTTGTTCTGCTACTCTAGTAGTCAACTCTTCCAGCCTCCCAAACTTTATCCATCCTTATTCCCTGCTTATGTTTCTGTTTTTCTTTCAGATAAAATGGGCAATCACTGGCTTCTATTACCTCATCTGCCCAAGTACTTGTGTCTGTCTCCACACACTGCCTTTGCCCCTGTTTTAATAACTGCTCTTGCTTAGAGCCCATCTGTTTCTTTTTTTCCTGCTCAAGTATGTCATCCTGTTTCTCTGCTTTTTTGCCTCATCAACTTAATCTTCTTTGCACTGCAAATATTTGTTATATTCCTCATTTAAAAAATTTTCCCCAACTCTACTTTCCCTCCTACACCTTCCAAATGTTACCTTTCTACCTCTCTGTTGCATACTATAGGTGAATTTATCCAGAGCTACTCCTGCCTCTAGTTTCTGACAAATGGAAAATATAGCTGAAGTAGTGCTTCTCTGAAACTTGTGATTTTTATTACCTTTAGAACCAGTCACCACTGAGGGCCAAAAGTGCAGCTTGCCAACAGATGGGGACTCTGTGGAGAAATTGGAGCAAAAGAAACCATTCAGCAGTCAACCTCCTGAACTTTCTCTGGAGACCTCAGGTAAGTTGGGATCAGCAATTTTTGAAATCAGTTTTCTTTCTTTGAACGATTTCATCTTGTCTCACCAGAAAATCGGTATACTATGTATTTTTAGATGACAGCAGTTCAGGATGCCTAAATTCTGATCCACCTGTGTATTATTCTTTCTTATGAGGTCTTAGGCCTGTTAACTGCCCGTATCTTGGCTTACTCAGCTCTAAGATAACTATCTTGGCCAAATATTCTCTGAATTCTTGCTCATTAGAGTGTTCAAAGCTCCACAATATCTGTGGTGCCTGGGAGTTTGTTAGAAATGCAATCTTTGGTTCCCACTGCATCATTTTAACAAAATCACTAGATAATTTAAACTTTGATGAACTGCTCCATAATTTGCAACTAGGAATTTTTATCATTCAGTGAACTTTCTAATCAGATGCTTTTTAATAGTAAATGAGAAATATATGCATTTTCTTATCAACTTCATTTTCTGTTTACTTTTCCGGACAATTGGGATATGAATGCCTTGTCATATGCTTCTTGTATATAAAATACACCCGGCTAAGGTATACTTGTAGCTGCTGTATCCTGCTTCTTATGACTGAGGTGGAAAGAGAAGTTCGTAAGCATAAATTCTTAAGGTCAAAAGTTACCTACTAATTGCATAAAATAGGGTAAAAAATGACACCCAACTAGCTGTTGATTGCCAAAATCACTACCTGGGATGCTATAGAGTAGGAGTTTTTTGAAGAAAAACAATGATTTATCTGAGATATTTAGAAAGATTGGGATTTAAATACATGGGATGATACAGAATCAATACAGTAAGTTCCGTGTGAATATTTTAATATTCTTTGAAACCAGGTCATTGGTTCGGACTTGACAGAAACCCTAACAGACTGGCTGTTTGGTGAGACAATTCCAGGAGTCTTGCATTTACATCATGTTGACTTGAAGGCAGACACTTGGACTAGATCATTTCTTGAAACTTTCCAATGATGTTCATTTGCTGAAATTCATTAATTTACTTCACATTATGTAGATTTCTCTTTTGCGAAGTACATTTTGAAATAGAACATTGAAATCTTAACACATTTGTGTATTTTAAAGTAGGATGTTCTGGAATGATATTTTTTCTCTGGCTAAAATACTTTCTCATGTTCTTTCTTTTCTTGTAAGAATCATATCTTTAACCTTCTGGTGTGTTTCCCAAATCGATCTGGTTAGGATAACTAGATGTATGATTAAGTCAGATAGATATTTAGTCAACCAATAAATGTCACCAAAAAGAGACAAGCATGAGAAGCTTATATTATTGCAAAACTGGAGCTTACTTACCTATTTATAATTACAAATACAAGATTTGCAGCCAATAAAAGCTTATTGTATATGTTAGAATGTTTGAAATATTTTATAACAATATGCGAGAAATAATTTTTACCAAAATTGATGGTCTTTGCTAAAGATTTACTAAAATCCCAGTTCAAGATGAGAAACATTTTTTAAAAAAACCTGCTGTTTAAAATAAACTAGTATACGTACTGGTAGCAATTAAGTGAGTAGCTAAATGGACTCTTTTTTTGTTTTTTGTTTTTTTTTTTTAATAAAAAACACAACAAGGAGTTTGTTGTTTGGAATTTTAGCCAACTTCATGTATTGCAGGTACCCCTCCCACACAAGCCAAACAAGTGTGCAGACCCAGTGGCCGCAGGTGCATCCGGCCCAAGCCTGCCAAGCTCCTGCAAGAGCTACCAGCAGGCTCCCATCCCTGGAAGACTCTTGATCCTAGGCCGGGCCCCTTCCCTGTGTCTGAGTTGGGTTGGGTCTCCGGCTCATCTTCCAGTGGTGAGCCTGGGAACCAAAGGAGAAGTGTTCATGGTGACATCCTTGAATCCCAGAGGGATCCTGGCAGGGAGGCCTGGGATATTGAAAACACTGCAGTGATGGTAAAGAAGAAGAAGAAGAAACCAAAGCAGAAGAGATATGGTCAGCCCCGGATTGGGGGGGTTTGGGATGATGATGGTGCTGATGACCCTCAGGGTCATTGCATTGCAGCCGACCCACGAGAGGCTGCTCTTCTCCCTTGCCAGTCTGTCACACTGGGCCCAAGGATAGCTGACCCCAGAGCAATCAAACTGGCACCTGAGGACTCTGTTTCTGAGAGTCTCCATGTGCCATCATGTCCCTCAGAAGAACCTCTTAAAACTTCAGTCAGTTCTCCACCGAAGTTTGGGCTGAAGCATACGGGCAGAGATGACAAGTCTGTTCCGCAAAGCCAAGATACTAGATCGTTGCCGGCGCCCAACTTGAAGGCTTCTGTGGCTCAAAGCCCTCCCCATCTAGAGGAATCCCCGACAGAAATTTCTGCTCCCAAAAGAGAGACGCTTGTAGAGGCCAGATCCAAAGAAGGTGGCTCTCCTATCTCGAACCAAAAAATTATTGCTGAAGTTTCAAAATCCCCAGCAGCAAAAGAACTATCTGATTGGATTCCCACTTTGACAGCAAGTAATCAATTAGAAAGTAGTCTTAAGCAGGGAAATAATGACAGTAAAATGACTACCCTACAGAATTTCAGACAAAAAGAAACAGAGGAAATTAAAGGACAAAAACAGAAAGCATTTCCCAAGCAAATAGAAGAGATCAGCATCTTTACACCTCAGAAGCTAGAAGACCAGGTGTTAGTTGAGGGCCCTGGGTTAGGGAATGAATCATTTAAGACAATTGTGGGTGATGGCAAAAGCAGGAAAGGCAGGATAGGTTCAGGAAAAGTGAAGCCAAATTCCAGCAAGATAAAAGAGAAACCTGGCCGGCCACTGTTTCTGGACAGCCAAAAGGATGGAAAGACCGCCATGGTGCCAAATGATCCAGGTCCTGCAACTCATAAAGGGACCCCTGGGAGTCCGAGTGAGGCCCAGATCCCAGACCCTTTAAAACCAACAGAGAGCAGGTTAGATCTTACTGAAACAGTGGTTATGAGGGAGTCTAAGGAGACCACTGACCCTAAAGGGGCAGACACATTGAAGCCATTAACTTCTTTGGATTATGATTCCAGTGTGACTCTGGCTTCTTGTGTTAGGACAAAAGAAGCAGCGCTAGTCGAAGGTAAGGGTGTCAGTAACCAGAGCAAGAAAGAGGAGTGTCCTTGCATGGATCATGACACATTGACTTGCATTTCTGAAAAGCCTAAGAAGAGAGGCCGTGAAGGCAAAACCAAAAAGTTTAAAAATAATTATTCAGTACAGTCAGCTAAAATGGAGAGCAGGGAAGAAATCCTCAACCCACCTTTGGTGGAGAAAAATAGAGGAGATACCACTGATGGTGTTCCCCATAAAAATAAGGACTTAGACCACATTTCCCCAAAAATGCATAATGCTTTGTTCTCACATGCACCAGTGGTTGACAGCATCGATAGAAATGTTGAGGTTGGTTCTGTTGAGGTTAGCATTCTTGAGGGAGGCAAAGTAACAACAGTTAAGAATTCTGCTGTTACAGAACCAGCTGCCAAGAAGACAAATGTGAGCTGCCCAGAGCAAATACAAGGGGCAGAATTTATTCCTTTAGCACTGTCTGAGGAGAGCAAAACAGACACAACCAAGGAACATACTGCAGTGGTGGATAAACCAAGTAAAAGGAGCAGTGATGGAAAAAGTAAAAAGATTAAAAATGGTTTTCCCCAGAAGCATATTCTAGAGAGTAAGATAGATACAACAAAAATACTTGTTCCCATGGAAACCACAGGGGACCACAGAGTTGAAGGAATGGGCTATGTAGATGAAAATAGAAATATTACATTTACCTGTCCTCAGACAGCAGTCGGGGTAGTGAATCAGTCAGTTCCTCTAGGGGCTCTGGAATCAGCAGCCTGTGAAAAACTGCTCATCGCTACTGCTCAGGGTGTAAGGGAAGGTAGCTCCCACCCAGACACCTTGGCAAAAGATGGGCAAGAGAAAGCCCCAGACGAGAGTTCCAAATTATTAGTAGTCAGTGGATGCAACAATGATGGAGTCCCAGATCCAGAAAAGCCCACACCTGTCTCTGCGGTTTTCCCCTCACCAAGTGCAAAAGGAATTGCCTTGACTTTTTCTGCAGTTATGGAAACAGGGTACAGTTGTGGAGACCACTATCTTAAGAATAGAGGTGAGCTTGCTGGCCCCATCAAAAATGAAGCAGGGATAGGTGAAGGGCATGTGGGAGGGGAATCTGAGTCAGTGCACAGTGTGGTATCTCAGCAATTAGTGGACAAAGTCACAAAGCAAGACAAGGAACACCTTATTCCTGAAGTGCTCAGAGAAGACCAGAGCCTGCCAGGAACGGCCAGAGTCCCAGAGGCACATCCCACCAGGGACAGTTGCTCCACATTTCCAGGAAACAATAAGACCGAAGCAGATCCCACTGCAGTTCAAAAACCTGAGTTAATGGGAAATAAGGGACAAAAGCTCAGTTTTTGTGAGGACCAAAATGCTAAGGATAGAAATTGTAAGGACGCAGATAGTTTGAATAAGGAAGTGGATGTTACTCTTCCACCTTCCAAAAGTGAAAGGGACAAATTGAAAGAAAGCACAGAATTGGAGCATGTTTCCTTGCCAACCTCAGAGCTACCATCAGATACTTGCTCTGGTGAAGTTGAAGCTCCACCAGAAGTGGTAGAAACATTAGGAATGACTGTTTCCAAGGATGGTCAGTGCTCAGAACTCAAAGATAAGAGTGTGGAATCACCTCAGGACATGACTGCAAAAGTTGAACCAAAGACACTGAGTGAAAAGAAGAAGGAAGGTAAAAGAATGACAGAACCCATGAAAGGTTACATGAGACCTACCAAGTCCCGAGGACTTACTCCACCTTTGCCAAAATCTACAATTCAGGAACAAGAGAAGTCCAAGCAACGAAAGTCCAGTGGTATGAACCTGCCATTGTGGAATGTGTTTGCTTACTGTGGCTTTTGAGTCAGCATTGAAACGGTGGAGTTTGTGCCTTGGTTGCATCCAGACAATAATCCCTTTTGATTGCTGATGTGTTGGCATGATATCCTAATAACTGCTGTTTATATGTTTTCTGCGGCCAAGGCATGCCTTGTGTCTAGCTCATAGAGGCAGGTAGTTTGGTTGCATGCCTTGAGTTTTAGGGAAATTGAATTTCAAGCAATGAATTTTTAGCAGACTGTTCTGTATCCTACAAGGAAAGCTTACAACCACATTTTCATGAGTGTTTGGTAAAAGGACGCATAGGAGGAAAGAAAATATTCCATCTCTTGGTTTGTACATGAGGTTTGTTTGGTCAGTGTGTATTGTACTGAGTGTATTGAGTTTCCAGATTGCTTTTGTGTTAAATGTCAAAGATCTGGTTTCCATTGGGAAATGGTAGCCTCAAACCAGCAGGGGTAGACACCAATTGTGTGTTTCTTCTGGAGGAAAATGACGTCTCAGATGTGCAGCCATGCTTTTTGATCAGCTCATTGCTTGCATCCATTGGCCACTAGTTGCTTGTGGGTTAGAGTTTTGGACATTGCCTGTGTCCATGGAATTGCCCATAAAATGTGCCCATGTTGACTCCTTCATAATTTTTTCCTTTTTAAGTTCCAGTAAGTGAAGTAATTGGAATGAGGTTGATGAAATGGTTCAACTAATCAAGGTTTTCACAACCTACAAATGAAATTTTCTCCACCACTGCTTCTTAGCTTGCATGATGCAACTACTAACTTCAGTAACTCTTTTAAAAAAAAAGTGCTTGCTCTGGCTGGCCAGTCAGGCTGGAGAAGCTCGTCTTAAGCTCATGTTCCTCATGGACATGTTCTTTTGCATAAAACTTGTGCTCTGCGTGAACTTATATCCAGTTACAAACTTTCTGTGTGAGTTAAGCATGCTGAAGGTTTTTATTTGCATGATTTTTTTTTTATCTGTTCTCTTTTTGTCTTCTTTCTATTAGCAACCATAATACCAAGGCAGAATTATCAAATACGGTAGTATCATACATGGTAGCTCTGCTGCCCCCAGATTGGCTGTGATTCTCATGTCTTGTACTCTTTTTTTTTTTTTTTTCTGTCTTGTTCTCTTTTGTTCTGAGAGTATATGTTCTTACCTGTAGTTTTCAGTGTTGATAGTAAAGATACTATTATTATTGACATTAATGAAGACAATAACACCTATCATCAATTGTGAAGATTATGTATCTGATTATCTGGGAGCTAATCGCATGTGATTCATTTCATAGATGAGATCATTGTGACTCTGGAAGTCAGGGTTACGTAGGTCGTAAAGAGGCAGGGCTTGAGTGTGAACCCAGGTCTTCCTGACGCTAAAGCCCAGACTTTATTTGTTCTTGAAGTTTCAGATGCTTCCAGATGTAAGCTGATGATTAGTAATTAAATGTTTTTATTTTGGTAGCTTTGCACTTTCCTAGCTGGGGTGCATAAGTGGTGACTCAGAGGTTTGTTTTGAATGCAGTGAAGTCTAGATCTCCTGAGAGCCCAGTGTTTTATTTCCCAGAGTCTGTATTTCGCATGTTCAGGGGCTGTTCTTAATACGTAGCCTAGAGCTTTATGTGCTTCTGTTGCCCAGTGACACTGTTGGTACTACACACAAATTATCGCTTGCTGATCTGAATCTGATATAGAAGTAGAGGAAGTGTATATATCAGTAAAGTCTCTTCTACCTTAAACTTCTAAGTTTAAGGGATCTTTTTTGGAAGAACCCTTCCCATATTAGAGAGATTATCATAGACAGGAAAAATTAATGGGGTATCTCATGGAGGATGAACTCAAGTTGTCAGAAAAGGACTTCTTGGCTGTTTTTGTGATAGGATGCGTGTTTGGAAGGATGTGACATTTTCAGATAGGTTCCCTGTAGACAGGCCCTTCCCTTGCTATTCTGAAGCCAGGCTTCCCTTTTAATTTGACTTAATTTCTTTTTCTTCAGTTTGCTTAAGGCCGTCAACTGCCTTCCAGCAGCTGGGAATGTCAGTTTACAGTAGGAAATTTTCTTGGTGTGAAACTTGAAGTAATTTATAGACCCAGAATTCTAACAGTTTCAAGGCCCTTGTATATAAATAAAATATGCTCAGCAGATGAAAAATCCACTTGTAATCTTAGTACTTGCTACTATTTTACTACTGGAGAAATACCCATTTGGTGATGTCTTGTCTTAATGATAGTACAATTTGTGAAGTTCTCTTCCATATTGCTCTCCTTCTACTCCTGTCTCATTCTGTTTTTTCTTTGCACTGGTATATAATGAAAGTTATTGGGACTCATAAGTGCAACAGAACTAAGAAATAGCTACCATTTATTTAAAATAACTCATGCTTTAAAAATTTTTTCTATTTGAAAGGCAGTTACAGAGATAAAAAGATAGGAAGTGAGATAGCGAGATCTTCCAGGCATTGATTCATTCTCCAAATGACTGCAGCTGCCAGAACTATCCTGATCTGAAGCCACAAGCCTGGAGCTTCTTCCAGATCTCCCACATAAGTACAGGGGTACAAGGACTTGAGCCATACTCTTCTGCTTTCCCAGGTGTATTAGCAGGGAGCTTGATAGGAAATGGGGCAGCCAGGACTATTTCAACTTTAACTATGAAGGAATTCTGTGTAGTCAATTCTCCTGTTACTGTTTATCCTACTTTACAAGGGGGTGGGTCTCCTCACATTCTCTTGCCTCTCACTTTTGTCCTCTGACAAGTATCATTGGAGCCATCAGAAAACAAATGAAAAGATGCATAACTTACAGCTTCTTATTTCGGTGCTGCCAGGTAATTTTCTTAAAACACAGAAAGGATGGACCCAGTGTGGTAGCCTAGCAGCTGAAGTCCTCACCTTGCACATGCCAGGCTCCCATGTCCTGGCAACTCCACTTCCCCTCCAGCTCCTTGCTTTTGGCCTGGGGAAATAGTCGAGGATGGCCCAAAGCCTGGGGACCCTGCACCAGCGTGGGAGGCTCAGAAGAGGCTCCTGGCTTCAGATTAGCTGAACTTCCGCTGTTGTCGCCACTGGGGGAATGAGTAATCAGATGGAAGATCTTCCTCTGGCTTTCCTCCTCTCTATATATCTGACTTTCTAAATAAAATAAATAAATCTTTTAAAAATATATGGAAAGGATATGACAGATTGATACAGTAGGTAAGCCTGCCACTCTGGATGCCTGCAGACCATGTGGTAGCATGGTGAGGTGGAATCCTGCCTCTGTTTCTCCAGCTTTCTTGTTAATGTGTTGTCAACAAGCTAGTTTATGTTGTGACTTCACACAGATCAGATGATCATCTTTAATTTTTGTTCTATTTGTTTTTCAATGTTTGTAAATAAATCAGAATAGTGACTTTCTGATTTAAATGTACTAAGAAATGTTTCTATAATTCTATAGGCTTTGGTTTTGAAATCAATTTGCATACTCAGGTTCTTAAGTAAATACGTGCATCATTTAATTCTAGGTAAGAAACCAGTTTGTAAGAACACCACGTTCTAGTTTTGTAAGAAAAGAGCATCATGAGTCACTATAATCAGTAAAATTATTGACTTGGATAATAATGATAATTTATTAGAATTGTTTTGAGAGACAATAACAATGAACAGTTGGTCTGTTCAGGAAACTAATGTTGCCTTGGTAACTGCTAAAAATGCAGAGAAACCAGAGCCACAAATGCAAAAGCAAAGCCCTGAACAGGTTAACTAGCTCTAGGCACAGTGTTAAAACAGAAACATCTGCCACTACATCTGCTGTGACCAGAGAGCATAATCTGCTATACAAGGCCTGGAGATTGGATGTGTCATTGTATGTCTGAGTCCTAGAAAGCACCTTCTGATCAGATACCCAAGCACCTATGCACTTTGTACTCAGAGTAGAAGAAAACCTCAAAATCTTAAGCTTAAAGGACATTCCAGATTGCAAACCTTTGGGATGAGTTAACAGAGTTTTAATGATAAAGGTTATGCATAAAGAATGCAACCAGGATCCATCTATTCTTCTGTCAAACAAATATTTCTAGAGAGTCAATTTATAGCTAGCAGAAATGGACAGCTCCAGAAAAAGCATATAAAATCAAAAAATTATTGTGTTATGGCTGCACAGTGACTCAACAGGCCAGTCCTTCCACTCTACAATGCTGGTATCCCATTTTGGTGCTGGTTCATATCCCAACTACTCATTTATCATCCACTTATGGTGACCCAAAGCCTTGGGACCCTGCACCCGTATAGTGGACTCAGAACTCCTGGCTCCTGGCTTTAAATTGACTTTATTCCTGCTATTATGGCGATTTTTGCCGTTTGTTTTAAAAGAAGATTTATTATTTTTTATTGCAGAGTCAGATTTATTGGGAGGAGGAGGGGAGGGAGGAAGAGAGGAGGGAGGGAGATTTTCCATCTGATGACTCGTTCCCCAAGTGGCCACAATGCCTGGAGTTGCGCCAATCTGAAGCCAGGAGCCTGGAGCTCTTCCAGGTCTCCCACATGGGTGCAGGGTCCAAAAACTTTGGGCCATCCTCAACTGCTTCCCCAGGCCACAAGCAGGGAGCTGGATGGGAAGTGGAGCAGCCAGGACCCTGATACACACTGCTGGTGCTTGCAGGCTAAGGATTAGCCAATTTAGCCTGCACACTAGCTCCCCATCCCTAATGTTCCTGGTAGAATATTTCACAATATTCTATATTAATAAAAAATTAGTGAACTACATACAACTAGACTACAAAAATATGCCTTGTTCTGAGAATGGACCATTCTTACAGGGAACCTTTGTCTAGGAATTTTGCTTTATGGGTCTGACAGTCCTGAATGTACAGTTCCTAAGCAATGAGCCCAGGACAGTAAAGGAACATAATGAGTTAAACGGGACATTTGTTCTGGTGGGTGAGCAAGTGAACTCCAAGCCACAGATGAACAGAGTGAATGGCTGTCCCCAACCTGCTACCTGCTATGTGTTGTCAAGCTTTGGAGAATAGTAGGCTAAAAGGGAGATGGATGGGGTCAGGCAGTGACCCAGCTCATCCAAGGAGCCAAAGGGCCGAGATCAGGGAGAGGACTCAGTGCTTTGTGATTGGACGAGTGTCCAGTACCATGCGTATTTTATATCTGGAATACACATCCCCAAAGCCCTGGTCACCGGAGTCTTTAAATGAACCATGTGTTAAGCGCTTTCGTGATGCACAGCTCCAGGTGGGCCCTCACTGGGATTTAGGAACCCCATCTAGTCAATTTGCAAGTGAATTTGACAAGTTGCTGTAACAGCTTTATCTTAGAAAAGAATACCAGCTGCTTAATTGCTACATTGAAGATTTTTTCCTCCCAAAAATTTGTTGGCCTTGTTTTTATTTATGGGTTATAGCTAGGGATTTGGCAAATGACTCTTGCTTATTTTTACAACAGTTTTTTGAGTGGGCGAATATAGAAAGGTAGGCATAATATGAGATAAGTAAATGTGTGGATAACCATGTATCTATGCCAGTGAAAGCCGGAATAATTACTGTCTCTGTGCCTGGATTGGCACCGTACTGTATTTTAAATTGAAGATCTAAACAAGTGCAAGTTAACAGAAAATTGCAGATTTCAGTGTTATTTAGTTATGCAGAAAGCAGCAGTTTCCTTCCTTTTCATTCGTACTTGATTTCTCTTCATTTTACTAAATACACTGTACCCTTAACTGCTTGAGAAGCAGAAAAGTTGGGGGAAATGCGGTTTTGTCATGACTACTGGGGACTTGTGACGTCACTGTAAGCCCTGTGTGATCGTAGGTGGTGTTAGCGCTCCAGGAGCGAGTGGGGGGAGAGCAGTGAAAGAGACGATGTCGCTGTCTGAGGAGCAGCCAGCCTCTCTCACTGCCGCGAGCAGCCAGCTCTGTCAGGGCAAGCCTGCACAGTGCCAAATGGACTCCCTAAAAGAAATGCATCAAGCTGGATTCGAGTGGCAGAGGACAGAGGGAAAGCTGAATGAAATCGGGCTGAGTGTCAGCATGGACGGGCAGCTGAAAGATGGGGTTGTGAAGAATGCCAGCTTCCTGGAGCAGAATAAGCTCTGCTTTTTTGAAGGCAAGAGAGACAAAGAGCTCAGCAGTGAAGTACAGGACAAGGTGTATCAAGCAGCTTCAGGTCACCTTGAGAGCAGGTATGTGATTTCAGAAAACTGGCATCCCTCGAAGGGTAACTCGGTGCACCAGAAGGCAGCCGAGTTCCATCCGGAACTCACACAAGAGCCAGACAAAAACAAAGCCAATCCAATTCAGGGGGAAGTGGCAGGGGGAAATGGGGTAGAAACCAAGAGCCAGCCAGATCTGGATTGCCCTGGAACCACTGATATCCCCACTGGGTTTGCCGAAGATCAGGAAACCACTGTTTGGAACCCCAACTTTCATCCTGTGGCTCCGGGATCAAAGGAGGCAACTCTAGGAAAGGAGAATGGCATCATCCCTGGCTGCACAGTGATTGGGGTGGCAGATGATATTACGGGACGACTTGCATGTGAGTCCCCACTAGTGGTGGCCATAGGCCCCCCAGACCCTACATCTGAGCCTTCCCCTCCTGCTTCCCCCCGCAGCACAATGCTGGCGCTCTCCCAGGAGTGTTTGAATGCAGGCTTGCCCGTCAGAGGCCATGATAAGGAACTGGAGAAGCTGAGTTCTACTGAAGAGGGGACTGTGATTCACCAAGCCCCTCAGCAGAAAAAGGCAATGCGCAGGGCTTTGTCTGAGTGTTCTCACCTTTCAGTTCCCCAAGCTGTCAACCTTACAGATAAGTACCCTGAACTTCCTGCCCGAGAAGAGTTTCCCTCTGGCCTATCGCCTCCTACTAGTGGCCCAGTACCAAGTCCTCTGCCCAGGAACCTGGGAGCCCCTGCTGTAAGGCGCTCCATGACAGTGGCGGAAGAACAGCCAGCTGTCCCCAGACTGAGCCCCTCAGAGCCGTCCGTCTTGTCTGCTACCGAGATACCTCCTTTGATCTGCGAAGACTCTGCAGCCAAGAAAAGAGAAGAGTTGACCCACTTGAACAGCAGCAGCAGCAGCCCTGGGAAGAAGGAATTCGGTGCCACTGGCTTGTATCTCCAAACTAAGCTAGAGCAGATTCCTGAAGCAAGCAGCAAGGAAAAGGAACAGGAAGGTTTTAGTGCAACAAAAATTGATTCATGCCCCCAAGCCTGCCAGGGAAGTGAGAAACAGCCAGGACAGTCGGCTCTGGCAGGGAAGAAAGAAATTGAGGTCACTGCAACCCAGAGTACACCATCCCTCCTGTGTGAAGAGAGCCCACGTGATGGTATGTTTCTAAATTTTGCTTCCCTTGGGAATAAGCAGACAGCAAGAAAGGGAGCAGTGTGATGGATTACCGGCAGGAGAGTTAGGCAGCTTATTGCTGTTGGAGTCTGTGACAGCTGGGGGAAAGCTTTTTCCGTTATATTGGAATCTTGCTGGGAGTAAGGGAGCAGAACAGAGTGAATCTGGCTGGGTCGAGCTGACTTGACAGTGTGGACAGAGGGTGAGGGCTGACTGGAGTGCATGTGAGTTGGCATCAGAAAGTGGTGGGCATACAAGTGAAAGCCCCTTCCTTACTTGACCTCATGTCACATGCCCACTTCACCCGTATGATCCCACCCTGAGCTTCCCATTCGTGTGAACTGGGTGACTGCTGAGCTCTAAATCATCCAGTCACAAAACGGTCCCTGTGTAGCTTCACAATGGCTGTGTGAGCACTGGCCCAGCTGTCGTTCTTACACAAGCTGTGGAAGCCCTCGTTTCCATTTTGCTTTTGAGAATGCTTCATTTTGTTCAAATTGAAAAGAGGTATCTCCAGCTGATTATTTACATTTCTTTTCTAAATGTTTGACCCAGTATTGCTGCTGGTTTTCTCTTTTACGTGTTTTGGGAGGATTTGTGGGGAGAAAAAAAAAGGGAAAGCAGACGTGGGAGGAAAGACTTTCCCCTAATAAACAGCAAGTGTGGCCGTCTTTGTGCCCGCCACCGTCTGTGTCTTTCTTCCTGGCCTTTTCTTTTCTTCCCCATCCCCCAGTAGTTCTTATTGTTGGGATCTAAAGAAGCTTGTTGTCCACAGTGAGCACAAAGGGGCATCATTCACAAACTTTTTAACAAGGGTGTAAATATATTTTGTTTGCCAAAAATTATGACTTTTTCACTTGAATCCTGTTTCCTCTGATAGTCATTCCTTTCAGCACATTTCTCTGAAGATTGTACTCTCTTTCTTTGATAATAAAAAGCAATATTTTCTAGCACAGTAAGTGGAACAGAACTCCTGTTTGCAAATGGAAATGGGTAGGAAAACATCACGCAGTTCCTTCCTGATGCTTAGGACTCCAGGACCACAGAAATGCAGTTGTCTTCGTCTCTTGTTCTCTCTGACTCTGGCAAGTTGTGAGCTGCTCAGTGGCCCAGTGCAGCACGACGTACTTTCAAGGTGGTAGTGCAGGAAGACTTTCAGTGTACCTTAGCAGAAATTCCTGCTTATCAAAAAGAGTCCCAGCTGACCGATGTATCAGCTCATCCATTCACCAGTCAGTGTTTAAATACTGCATGCTAAAGAGTGTGCAGATAAAACTATCTAAAGGTTTGCCCATTCATCATGCCTCCCATTTGCCAGTCACCAACTAGACATTGTGAATTATTCTTGTCCTCAAGCAGTTTATGGTAGACGAGATGGGAGGGGGTGACAGGAGGGAAGATTGTGACTCACAATAATGTTTTCAAAGAGGTGGTATTTGAGCTGAGCCTTGGAAAACTAGTATGCTAAGGTGAAAGCAGACCTTTCACACAAAGGGTCTCCTGTAAGCAAAGGCTTAAATAAGGTGCAAACTGTTAGGCTAAACAATGGCAATGAGTCTTTAATAGGGTATTCTTATTAGGTAGGTATTTGCAAAGAAAGAAGCTAATACTCAGAAAAACTGATTTTTTTTAAAAAATTTATTTATTAATTTTTATTGCAAAGTCAGATATACAGAGAGGAGAGACAGAGAGGAAGATCTTGCATCTGCTGATTCACTCCCCAAGTGGCCGCAACAGCTGAAGCTGAGCAAATCTGAAGGCAGTAGCCAGGAGCTTCTTCCCGGTCTCCCACGTGGGTGCAGGGTCTCAAGGCTTTGGGCCGTCCTCGCCTGCTTTCCCAGGCTACAGCAAGGGAGGTGGATGGGAAGTGGGGCTACTGGGACATGAATCAGCACTTATATGGGATCCTGGCACATTCAAGGCAAGGACTTTAGCTTTTGTGCTACTGCACTGGGCTCCTGTTTTTTGTTTTTTTTTTTTTTTAAGATTTATTTTTATCATTTTTTCATTGGAAAGGCGGATATACAGAGAGGAGAGACAGAGAGGAAGATCTTCCATCCAATGATTCACTCCCCAAGTGAGCGCAACGGGCCGATACTATGCCGATCCGAAGCCAGGAGCCTCTTCCAGGTCTCCCACGCAGGTGCAGGGTCCCAAAGCTTTGGGCCGTCCTCGACTGCTTTCCCGGGCCACAGGCAGGGAGCTGGAAGGGAAGCGGGGCCGCCGGGATTAGAACCGGCGCCCATATGGGATTTCGGGCGTGTGAGGCGAGGACCTTAACCACTTGCGCCACCGCGCCGGGCCCTGGTTTGTTTTTTAAAAGAAGTGTTTGTATATACTCTTACATGTAGAAAGACTCTGAGGACAGTCCTTTGTAGCTAATGGGTATGTTTCCGGAATTTATTCCCTCTACCCCACACACTTGTCTCTTTGTGTTTCCTTCTCAAAATTATGTTTTTTCTGTCTTAACTGGATTTTTTGGTATATAATGGGGTGAGCCGTTACTCCATTTCCAACTTGTTTAAACATTAATGTCCCTTAGTAAACCTCTTTATATATATATGTATATATATACACATACACACACACAGCTATATTTTCAGTTTTTATTTGAAAGGCAGATTTACAAAGAGGAGAGACATAGAAAAGCAGCTCTTCATCTGCTGTTTACTTCCCGAATGCCTATAATGTCAAGGGTAGGTAAGGCCAAAATGAGATACAGTGAGCTCCTTCCAGGTTACTCCAGTGGGTAGCAAGAACCCACTTAGCTGGGCCATCATCCACTGCCTTCTAGGCACATTAGTAGTTAGTTGGAACAGAAACACAGAGTAGTCTCAACTTGAACCAGGCAACTCTATAATAGTTGTAGCTGTTGTTTAACCTCCACTGTGCCCCAGTGCACACCCTCATGATTTTCTAAAACTGCCCAGCATAGTAGCCTAGTGGCTAAAGTCCTCACATTGCAAATGCCAGGATCCCATATCAGTGCTGGTTCAAATCCCTGCATCCCCGCTTCTCATTGAGTTGCCTGCTTGTGGCCTAGGAAAGCCTTGTGATCCTGCGCCCATGTGAGCAACACAGAGGACGCTCCTGGCTCCTGGCTTCAGATCAGCTCACCTGCAGCTGTTGCGGTCACTTGGGGAGCGATCAGCGGATGGAAGAACTTTGTTTGTCTCCTTTCTCTGTATATCTGACCTTGCAATAAAAATATGTAAATATGTTTTTAAAAACTGCTTGGTAATTGCACAAAAATAATAAAATGCGCAAGACTGAGAGGTTCAAGTCATAACTGCTCCACTTCCAGTCCAGTTACCTGCTAATGTGTCTAGAAATGCAGCAGATGGCCCAAGTGCCTGGACCCTTGCCACTCGTGTTGGAGGCTGCAAGGAGACTGCTTTTGACTGACCCAACCCTGGTCATTGGGCCATTTGGGGAGTGAAGAAGTGAATGGACGGTAACTCTTTATCTGTGCCTCTCTTTTTCTTCTTTCTTCTTTCCCTCCCTTTTTCTCTCCTCTCATCCTTTCCCTTCCCTGTCTCTGCTTTTAGATAGATTGAATGCTGCTATGAAGGTGGAGATCACATGATTGACTAGTTGCCTAAGCTTTAGGGTTTTTCCTTAGAAAAAGGTCTGAGGTAGATAGGGCTGAAAGAGTTGTATCTTGATAGTTGTTAGTGATGGTGCAAAACATATTGTAAAATTGCATAGAACTGCACACACAAATGAGTATTTGTAAGACTGGAAACATCTGATTAATCTCTGTGGACTGTACCGATTGATACCAGTGTCCTGATTTTGATAGTATACGGTAGTTATGCAAATAACATTATTGTGGTACATTCTATGAATGTCTAGTTATTTCCCAAAAAGCTTTATAATTTTCATTAATACATGCTTTTGAAAAACAAAGAGACAAACAGGTGTACAGAGAACTGAGAGAGTTGACTCCTATCCACTGATGTGTACTGCCTGAATGGCCACAACGCCGAGGAACACAGCTGAAGCTGGGCATTCAGGCAAAGTCTCCTGTGTGGGTGGCAGGAAGCCAGGATGTGGCTGTTGCTTCCCAGGGTCTGCATTAGCCAGAGGCTGGAATGAAGAGCCTCTGCAGAGAATTGATCATGATGATTTTAAACTCTGTGTGTGTGTGTGTGTGTGTGTGTGTGTGTAGTGTAGTGTAGTGTAGTGTAGTGTAACCATCCTTTCTTCCTGCCCGGTCCCTTTTCTGAACAAATGGCTTCATGATTTACATATTGCTCACCACCTTGTTTTTGTTTTATGGTTTGTTGATTTAACTTAGTAGGATCATTTCATATCTAACCAACAAAAGAGTTTCTCCATGATTCCCTAACTAGTTTTTTATTGGCGGATTTGGAAGTTGTTCATCCCTAGATGCTCTAGATTCTAGTTTGTCACTTTGCAGGTGTGCATATCTGCCTGTGAGTTGGGTTTCTATAGCACTTGCCCTTGGTAAAACTGCTGCCAGACTACCCTGCCTATGAATTATACCAGTCTTACACAACCTCCCCTTGTGGTCCATGTTGTCTCCTGTGGTTATTTTCAAGTATATGTTTGGTTAATCATGGAATTTCAGTGTCTTCATTTATTTTTTTGTACTTACTATCAAGCATATTTTTGTGTTTTCAAAGCACATTTGTATTTTTTTTTAAAATAAACTGTGTTTTACTCATTTATCTGGTGAATCATTGACCTTTATAGGAATTACTGATTTGTAGAGATAATTTATGAAATGGGGTCTTCAGTATGAGGTTTAGGTAGTTTTGTTTGTTTGTTTGTTTGTTTTGCCTGTTTGCGAGTTGGCTTTTGACTTGAGTTCTGTTTTTGGATTTTTTTTTCCCATGTTGAAGTTTGGTATTTTCCTTTAGTAATGCTTAACCTTTTGTGCTTCTGGCTTTTGTGCTTCCCACACTAAGATTACCAAGTTGCATGATATTACAACACTTTCAGATCTGAGTCTACAGAAGCTTGCCACACAGAGGAGGCTATGCAGCCTGAGACTGTAGATCTCCTTTCTGGTCCCGGGTAGGGTTCCGTAGGTCCCCTCAGCCTTGTTGGAAATTTGGGTCACTGCTAGATCTAGAGCGAGTTAATCTTACATCCTCTATAAAATGATTCTTTGCAAGGAGAGGAAGTAAGGGGAGGACATTGAATGACCATCTGGCTGTGACCCCATCTCTTCAGCCACCTTTGTTCCAAGACTCTGGTTGAATAGTGTTGTCCCCTGTGTTCCAAGGGCTGGTAGTTTGGTGATAGAACCCCTTTTACTGGTCTCCAGGGAAAGGAAGCCAAACTTGAAGAGCTGTTTCCTTCTTATTATTTGTGCAAATTCGATTTAGATTACTGCTCCACAGGGACAAATCACCTAAGTATCTGGAATCTGAAACTGTCCTCTGTCACAGTGAGAACCTGGGCGGCTTGTCCATGTTTTAGCAGCACAACCCGTAGATTTTTTTCAGAATGAGGTGCTCGTGTGGTCTGTCTTTGCTAAGCCATGCATTTTCAATATGGATATGAAAAGCATTGGCTTAGAATAATTCCCAGTCATTCCACTTAGGAGTAGTCCGCCCAGATGAAGGACAGCCTGCTGTGAGTGTGACCGGAAATGACATCACCACCCCACCAAACAAGGAGCTCCCACCAAGCCCAGAGAAGAAAACAAAGGTAAGTACCCAAATGCCAGTTATCTTTCATTGCTGTGGCTTGGGTTTTTTTTGTTTGTTTGTTTGTTTGTTTTGTTTTTGGGTTTGTTTTTTTTTTTTTTCAGTATCTTCTGCTATTATTGCTCAAATCATGAATGAAATGTCTTTTTTTCTGAGCTGTTTTGAGTCCTTTTTTAAGCTTGGATATTGTTAGAAAGTATCTTACATTCCTATTTTACTATAATAGCCTCACCCAGACTTACCAGGTGCTGGCACTTACTGCAGTGTTCTGATGCCACACTTAGGAATGAATCATAATGGCTTAATTACTTGCTAATAATTTTCTGTATAGAATTACTGCAGCTACCAAAAATTAGCTATCTAAAGCTGCTACTGAATTTAAATCTTCAAATGTGAAACTGCTGAAATTTGTGGCACTGTCATTAAGGCGGTATCCATCCTGGAGTTGCCACTATTTTCTAAGCTCAGAAGAAAAGAGTGCAAGTTTTCAGTTGCATCTATCCTCATTGCTTGTAATTTTACTTTGAATTGCACAATTTATACTTTATTTTAATTTGTTTTTATTCTTGTCTGTGTGTTTTGATGTTCTTTTTTTCAATCAAAAATTTAAATTAAAAAAAAAAAACCACCAACCTAAAGGTTTTGGCCACTACTCAACCTGCAAAGACTTCAACAACATCGAAAGCCAAAACACAGCCCACTTCTCTCCCTAAGCAGCCAGCTCCCACCACCACTGGTGGGACGAATAAAAAACCCATGAGCCTTGCTTCAGGCTTAGTAGCAGCTGCCCCACCCAAACGCCCTGCTGCCTCCACTGCCAGGCCTTCCACCTTACCTGCAAGAGACGCAAAGCCAAAGGTAAGCCACCCTCTGAGGACTGGGCCAGGGAAAGATATTCTTGTCCTCACCAGATGATATACTCGCCCTAGTGGAAGTGGGAAAAAACATGGGCAAGGGGGAAGGGTTATTTGGACAGGGACTGCTTTGATGGCAGCCGTAAACACCCCCCACCCCCTTTTCTTTTTAAAAACCTTTCCCTAATCTGGTTAGAGGCCATTGCCCTCCTCCCCCTTTCACAACTGTTCTTACCCTTAACTTACTAAACAACTTATTAACTAGTTGCCCTGTTCCACATACTACCCAAACACTACTTTCATTGTAACTCCTAGTTTGACTTCAGTTCTTTGTCTTTTTTTTTTTTTAAGATTTATTTATTTATTGGAAAGTTAGATATACAGAGAGGAGGAGAGACAGAGAGGAAGATCTTCCATCCAATGATTCACTCCCCAAGTGAGCACAACGGCTGATGCTATGCCGATCCGAAGCCAGGATCCAGGAACTTCTTCCGGGTAACCCACATGGGTGCAGGGTCCCAAGGCTTTGGGCCATCCTCGACTGCTTTCCCAGGCCACAAGCAGGGAGCTGGATGGGAAGTGGAGCTGCCGGGGTTAGAACTGGCGCCCATATGGGATCCTGGCGCGTTCAAGGCAAGGACTTTAGCTGCTAGGCCATGCCCCCGGGCCCAGTTCTTTGTCTTCTTGTTAATGTTCCTGCAGAAATGAAATGTAGCCATTTATTGTAGCAATACAGTTGAGCTCCTCCCACTGGTCTCATCATATTCCAGGACCTTGTGATAATTTCTGACATCAGGACCACCTCTCCTGGAGCTCCTTCGTTGCCTAGGAACTTCCTGGTAGCTTTAGGATTGTCCCGGAAGAAGAGGGTGGGTGGAGGCTGTGGCAGTGTTCCTTAGTATTCTGTTTGATTTGAGAAGCACTTTGAGGTCAGCCTGGTGGTACTGCTAAAATTCATGAGAGAATTAGTATTGTATGTTAAATTGCCAGGTATTGTAAGTCACTCCTATAAAGACACATGATGGGACCTAGGAATTGTAGTCTAGATTAAAACTGCACGAGAGAGACACTAGGAAGACATATTATGGAATAGTTTATAAAATCTCACCAATTTACCTCTCACTTTCTCAGGTCAAAGATGTATTTATTTTTATTGGAATGTCAGATTATTTTTTAAAAGAGAGTAGAATCAAAGAAAAAAAACCCTGCATTTGCTAGTTCACTGCCCAAGCAGCCGCAGCTGTTGAACCAAAGCTGATCCAAAGCCAGAATCCAGGAGTTTCTGGGTTTCCCACATAGGTGTAGGTTCCCAAGGCTTTGGGCCATCCTCTACCAGCTTCCCAGATAACAACCAGGGAGCTGGAAGGGAAGTCCAGCAGGCAGGATACAAACTTACACCCATATGGGATCCTGGCTCATGCAAGGCAAGTTCTTTAGCCACTAGGCTACTGTGTTGGGCCCTTTTCTGTTTAACTTGAGGAAGCAGTTTGAGGGCATCAGGGAGGTGCATAGAAGTGCGGTGCAGGTGCTTACCAGGGCTTATTTAGCAGCTTTATATGGAATGGAAGAAGGTTGCGGGAGAAGGTGCCGTGCTCAGCACCTCCATTTTTACCCGGATGAGGAAGCAAAATCATCCTCAGACAATGTGCTGAAGTTGCCGAGCTGTGTTGGAGCCGGGACCTACACCAGAGCCAGTGCTTGAGGGCCTTGTATTTCATGGAAATACATGTTATGAAAACTATGTAGAAGTTTCAAAATTGTTCGCAGTAAAATAGGCTTTATCATTTAATTCCATTTTCCACAGACTTCTGATATACCCACACATATAGCTCTTCAGGCAGCAGTTTAAAATACAGCTAACCTAAAGAAGAGAATCTACATTATAACTGTTACTACTTGTCTTTTAGATAAGCAACGGAAGTATTTTGAGAGACAGAAACTGAAGTCTAATACACGCTCTCTTGGTATGTTGGTAGCTTTATAGAAGCAAACCAAGGAGGAGGAAAAACCTATTCAGAAAAATAAGGTGGAGGTGCTCACAACAGTAGGATAGTGGCTAAAGTCCTCACCTTGCACAGATCCCATTTGGGCACCAGTTTGTGTCCCAGCTACTCCACTTCCCATCCTGCTCCCTGCCTGTGGCCTGGAAAACAGTTGAGGACAGCCCAAAGCTTTGGGACCCTGCACCCACGTGGGAGACCTGGCAAGAAGCTCCTGGCTTTGGATCAGCGCAGCTCCACCCATTGCAGCCGCTTGGGGAGTGAATCATCAGACAGAAGATCTTCCTCTCTGTATCTCCCCCTCTGTATATATCTGACTTTGCAATAAAAATAATATATGTAGGTTAGGCTACAGTACCTGTATCCTTCCTTGGCTGTCCATTTTTAATATTTCATTTGGTTAGTGGTAGTTTGACATTCTGTTTTCCAGTGTAGTCCCCACATGGCTACTTTCAGGTGTTGTTAGATACCTTTGTTCTTAGACACCTGTGTATTTTGCTTTTGGAAGCCATTCAGTCCATAGCCCCACTGTTGTCTGCCCCATGCCTGTATTGAGCCCTTATTTGGCCTCACCTGGACTGTTGCTGACCTGCAACTCTTCTCCTACCTATAGTCCACTGCAGAGGTAAAGACTGCTGAGAAGCGGACTTCCCCAGCCAAGCCAGCCTCTGCCCCAGCCCTCAGACCTGGATCCAGGAGCACCCAGACTGCTCCAAAAACCACAACATCAGCCACTCCTGCTTCACCTGGGCAAAGTAGTAGGAGCCCCCCAGCACCTGTGCCCAAGAAGCCCACTAGTGAGTATTGCCTATTTTCCTTACCTGGGTTCCACTGAGCAGCTCTTGGGCCCTGCCTTTGTGCCTGCCTTAGCTTCTTCTGCCAACACCCCAATAAATTATGCAGGCCAGCATCGAACAGTGGGATTCGATGCTGTTGGCCTGATATGCATGGAAGCTTAGCAGTTGTGTTGATTCTGGAAAATGTTAAATGACTGGGACTTGGCTTTCTTGTTCCCTTCTTAGTGACTGTGGCACCTAGAGCCCTGTGTTCATGGGCTTGCATGATGACAAGACAGAAGTGATGTAGCTGCACGAGCGTGTGTTGATGGCCTACTTCTAAGGCCACATGGAAGGTGTTGTCAGGGCTGAGGGGGAAAGAAAGACACAGCACCTGGTCTGGTGCTGCTGCGGACCAGCCTTTATGTGACTCAGTTGCTACTCCACTCCCGAATACTAGCACCATGTCTGTTGGAAAGTGGACCTTTAGTCATTGTTGAATGAATGATGAACCCCACTTCGTGTTGGGTGAGCTATCCGACAGGTCAGTAGGTTAAAGGTTAGGTTAACACCATGTGTTTGCCTGTGCAGCCATCAAGCCTGAGGGTAAACCTACAGACGTCAGGAAGGTGACTGCCAGGTCTGCGCCAGGTAATTCTATGCCCCTACTTTGTGGAATCCTTGAATGAACATCCACCTGTCCCCTGGTTTTAAGAGTTCAGTTTCCCTGTCCCTGAGCCATGGTCTCTCTCCCCCCTGCCATTGCAGTCGACCTGAGTCGGTCCAAGAGCACCTCAGTCAGTTCTGTGAAGAAAAGCAATACTGTCCCTGGAGCGGTTCCCTCAGCAGTGGCTCCCACGCGAGTCAAAACCACACCCCCGGTACCCCGGTCCTCCACGACTTCCTCAGCTGACAAGAAGCCCAGCTCCACCAAGCCCAGTGCCTCTGCTCCAAGGCTGAGCCGCCTGACAACTACTACTTCTGCCCCTGACCTGAAGAATGTTCGTTCAAAAGTCGGTTCCACAGAAAACATCAAGCACCAGCCTGGAGGTGGCCGGGTAGGTACACAGCTTGGGGTCCTGGGGGTGCCAGTCTTGGCCTCCTCTCCTGCCACAGGCAGCTAACTCAGGGTCTTGGGCATCCCAGCTTTGGCCTCTTCACCTGCCAAGTGCAGCCACCACAGCAAGGAAACTATAGGGACATCAGCTTCATATCAGCCAATTTCTGCGTCAGCCTCAGTGAAAGGGTGGCTTTAGCTCCTGTATGCTCTTTCCATCTCAAGTCAGAAGGAATTCCTGTTTTGTGTGTTGGGGTTTACGTTTCCAGTATTGCTTGAATTCTTAATGGTTTTTCTACTTTACGGAAGAAACAGAAACTAATGTATACCTCTTCCAGGTAAATTGATACAGGGCATGAACCCAGCTCTTCATTTTCTGACTCCTGCCCTGATGGGCAGGAGGAAGAGCATCTCAGTTCTGCCTGGCATCATTTGGGTGGAGTGTCTGAATGCGGACTAGGGCGTCCTCTTGTGGCCAAAATGGATTGTGTTGTGAGCCCTGGCTTTCATAAACCCCACGCACGCCACAGCATCCACTTTACAGTTGTCTGGTTGTATGTCCTCCCAGAGCTCCTGTCAGCTGACAAGAGGTACTGGTGACAAAAGTCCATTTAAGTCCCTACAGGAGTGGCTTTCGGGAAGCAATGGTGTCTGGTGTTCCCATTTAGTCTTCTCGGCCTGCTTTGGTGCCTGATTTTGTCAGTGGTGTCCTGCTGTCTTCTCCTGCCTAGAACTTGGGTCTGTGGCTACTCTCTGGACCTCCACTCTTGGTCTATCCTGGAAAATATGCATCTTTCCTAGAAGCAAAGATGGCCTGCTTCTGCCTCATGGCCTGTTCAGCCTTCTTCCTTGTTTGGCATTTGGCTGTCATCCTCTTGGTTTGAAACTTGCCCTTCCTTTATCTCCATCCAGGCCAAGGTAGAGAAAAAAACAGAGCCAGCTGCTCCGGCTCGAAAGCCTGAACCCAATGCAGTCCCTAAAGCAGCCGGCCCAGTTGCGAGTGCACAGAAATCACCTGCTGGGAAAGTGAGTTTTATTTAGATTTAACCTCTGGAAGGTAAAAGATGGTAAAAAAAAAAATCTTCTTCCAGTCTGAGTCACTTTCCCCTCTCCAGCACTGTTTTCCTACCCTTACCTATAATACTTCTTCCTTGCATTCCCTTCTCTGTGTTTGGTGATTCAGCCGTTGGAAAATGTTTATACCAACCCTGAACATGTATGGCATTGGGAACCCATTAACCCTTCAGGGAATCTTCATCTGGATAAAATGCATCCAAAACGTCCGTCCCCTTTGTCACACTGACTTTGTTCCAAATGCCACCTGTCCGTCATCTGACCTAAACTGGAAGGCTCATCAGGAAAGAGGATACGGTGGCTGCTGGAGGACAGGGCCAGCGTGGTTTCTTGCCTTCATACCAAGAAGCCAGACTCCTGCCTCTGGTGGGACCAAAAGATCCACAAAGAAGCCCGAGTTAACCCTGTGGGGCCAGGACAGGAAGTCTTGTCCCAAAGAATTGCTCCAGTGGATGGATAGGAAGATGAAGACTGCCCCCATGACTTCCAGTGACTGCCAAGGACAAAACTCATTAGGACGTGGAAAGTTATGCATCTTTCAAGTTGTAAAGAAGCCAAGACTCTGCTTGAACTACATTTATGTTTGGTAGAGGACTCTGGTCTAGAGGCTATGGCGTTGGCAAAGAGCCTGTAGCTTCATGGTGGTGGAAGAAAGGGAACTTGGAAGTCCCTTATCCGGAGAGATGCAGGCCCAGCAGCCTGTATCACTCAGTTCCAGGGGAGTGTTAGCTGCAGTGCAAGTGAGCAAGCATCATTGCAGCATTGCCCGGAGTCTCTTCCCTTTCTGGAGAAACTCACAGAACAACATGCAGTCTGGCTCAAGAACGTGTTTTACTGCAGAATCAAAAATAGATGTGGGTGAACTTCTGCTGTCCAATGTCGTGCCTTCTCAGGCTCTCAGATGAATGGGCTGAGCAACAGCTGTTGAAGCTGCATCCATACCACCTTGTAGTGTCCTGAAAATGTTAGCAGATCCTTAGTGTCGCCAGCACTTTTCAGAGCATGTGTCTGGCTGCAGCAGTGGTAGGCCCTGGTGTACAGAAACATGCCCTCCTTGGGTGAGGACAGGTCCAGATGACCCAGGTCCCTTGCAGGAAGGAGACCATCTCTCAGGGAACGTGGGGCTGGTCCTGGGTGAGCACAGCCAGCCCCCCAGAAGCAGGAAAGGCAGCCAGGGGCCACCCGTGCACAATTCTTTCTGTCTTGTGGTGATTGTCACACTTCACTTCCTTGCTTCCTCTTTCAGAGTCCTTTTCCTGTTCTTTTCCACAACTGCTCTGTGGACGGTCGGGGTGGAGGTTTAACAGCACCCTTTATTGTTCATTGTGATCATGCGTGGACTCACAGCCTGCCCTGTGTTGGGTCTAACCAGTCCTCCCTTTGTGTTTTTTTTTCCCCCTGTTCTCTAACACTCTAGGTCCAGATAGTCTCCAAAAAAGTGAGCTACAGCCATATTCAGTCCAAGTGTGGTTCCAAGGACAATATTAAGCATGTCCCTGGAGGTGGTAATGTAAGTATAAGCTCTGGCCAGCTGGCCTCCGAGGCACAGACCTCTGAGGGGTACACTGGGAAGAGGGCCATGGAGAAGCAGTCCAGCAAATGAGGGGGGCAGTGGTGCTGAGCCCCTAGGGCAGCCTGGGGCTGTGGCCTGTTCTTACTCCACTATGTTAGAGGCCTGGTGGGCAGCAGCAAGCTGATGGCCCATCCTGAGTCCATTCTTGGACTGAGTGCCCATGTGGCACCGAGGTATATCTACTCAGATGTCCAGATCTTCCCAAAGCTCATACTTGAGTTTATTATCATCTCTTCCTACCCCTTGTCTACTTATCCCTACTCTCTTGTTGCTCCCCACCCACATATGCACCCACCTTTTATGTGTGTATTTATCTGAAAAAGAGTAATATAGAATCTACTCTCTGCTGGCTCACACCCCAGGTAGCCCCAGCAGCAGGTTCTGGTGCATAGGTGAAGGGGCCCAAGTATCTTGGCCATCTATCCCTGCCAAGATGCACCAGCAGATAACAGAATAACCAGGACTTGAACTAGCTCTCTCAGATGCCAGTGGCTTACCATACTGCACCACAATACCCATCCCTCCTTCCTTCTCTCTTTTTCCTTTTTCTTATATTGTTTTATCCCTATTCCTTCCTTTTTTTAGTCCCTTCCCCCTTGTTGATTGTTTCCCTTCCCACCTTCCAAACACCTTTATTTCTGTCGGCTGCTGTTTCCTACTGGCTGTTCAGTCTGTTGGTGTCACAGCTCACAGGGGGGAGACCAGTGGAGTGTAGCAAGCAGCACTCTGCATATACCCATGCCAGGTTTATCACAGAGCCATCCACAGCCCCACTGCATCTCTTTCAGCTCTCAGGGAGAGATAGTCCTGCCTCAGTGTCTCTTAGCTCTTACGCCATCCTTCTTTAGCTCTCCTGAACCATTGGGCATTCTGTACTTAGTCCTCCTTTCAGACATTTTGATCCCAGCCACCTGTTGCCTGGACTCAGGGCATTCTCCCCATGGTCTCCAACACGCTCACAGCTCTGGACATCTCTTGTGCATCCCTCTGACCCCCTGTGCATCAGTCCTCACTTCTGTTCCTACACTTCTTCCTGAATGCCCTCATAAATCACAGCAACCTTTCTTGGCCTAGGTAGAAGGTGTGTCTGTACTCGGGTAGTACCTGTCTGTTCAGCTGATGTTAATGGAACTGGAAATCAACTAAAAAGGGTGAAACTTTAAAAAAAATTTATTTGGAAGAGATACATACAAAGGTGTTCTGTTTTTGGTTTCATTTCCCGAAAGTCCACAGTAAAAACCTGGTCTGGTCCAGGCTGAAGCAGGAGTTAGGAATAGTCCTTCCTGGTCTTTCATGTGAGTGGCAGGGACCCAGGCACTTGAGCCACCGCTTGCTGCCTCTCTCTCAGGATGGGCATTGGCAAGAACTGGGAATGAAGTGGAGGTGGGACTTGAATGCAGGCACTCAGACATGGGTTGCCTGTGTCCCTGAAGGAACCTTTCAGAAGTAGTATCTGGTTAATGGGATAAAGATCAACGCATTCAGATCTCTGCATGGACATGGCCCCAGCTTTCCGCCTAGGATTTTGTCCTGGGTGAACACCGGAGGTGAGCAGGGAGGTATTCAGAGGAAGTTGGGAACTAGAGTGTCCAGAGGCCGCAGTGAGCAGTGTTTCCAGGGGGCCCATGGAGTCGGCAGCTACAAGCCACAGTCTGTCTGGTCAGAGGTTCTCTACTTCCTTCCAAGCCTTCTGTCAGCCCGTCTGTAACACCACCACAAATAAAGCAAGCATAGGGCGCCAGCATTGCAACTTAGCAAGCTAAGCTACCACCTGTAGTACTGGCATCCCATATGGGCACTGTTTCAAATTCCAGCTGTTCCACTTCCCATCTGTCTCTGCTGATGCACCTGTAAGCCCCTCCTCAGTTTGTTCAAGGTCAGAGTCATCTCTGTTGGCCAGGGCACAACCTCTCCTCCCAGTGCCCTGGTGGCATTTACAGTGGGAGAGGAGACGATAAAGGCTCGAAGAGTTTAGTCCTGGAGTTCTCTCTTCTCCAACTTCCCTACCCCCAGGCGATAATAACACCTTCATCTTCTTCCCTAGGTTCAGATTCAGAACAAGAAAGTCGACATCTCAAAGGTCTCTTCCAAGTGTGGGTCCAAGGCTAACATCAAGCACAAGCCTGGTGAGTAACCTCCCAGGTGTCCCCAACCCCCCATGGTGGCTGCCAAAGGCTTCCTCCGGCCCTGCTCACTACTCAAGGCTGGGGACCCACCTCACACCCAGGACATGGGAGAGAGAAAACAGTGTGGGCCCTGAAAGAGGACCTGTGGTGGAGCATTTGCACCTCCTCCCAACACCTACTGTGGGTCTGGGCTGAGGAGCAGGGCCCACAGCACCCCCTCACCCACGCCCCACAGTAGCTCCTGAGCTGTCTCCCAGGGCCAGGCCGCACATTTGGATAGGAAGGTGTCAGCAGTGCAGCAGGTGTCCTGGAGGGCAGGGCAGGTTTCAGGAGGCGACGACAGCTGCCTGCTTCTCAGCTAAGAATATGGCCTACTTCTAAATACTTTCTCTTAAAAGATCATTGGCTTTAGCTAATTAGCTTTTGTTGCCTTCCATTTACCTGAAAACTCACACCTGGGAAATGCTTCCTTCCAAGTCAGGCATTTGCTAGGGCTTAAGCTCCTGTGTGTAAGACAAGTGGAGCATGGAGCGAGGAGCCACGTGTTGAGGTTTCTCATGTGAGCTGAGAGACAATGGAACAGAAGGCCTTTAAGGTGGCCAGGGGTGGGCTAGGTGCTGGTCCTCCAGAAGGGCCTTAGTGTGTGGCAGGGCAGCCTGGCCTGAGCCGTTGCCTGCTCTTAGGGCCACTCTTGGAGTCCTGCCCTTGATACCATGCCAGGAAGTGGCCTTGCAGCTGGTCAGCATGTATCCTGGTCACCAGGAATCCTCCTCAGCCCAGAGTTCAGAGCTTTTTCCAGGTGACAATCACATCCTGCTCCCGTCACCCATAACTGATGGTGTCTCAGGCAGGTCTCCTCCCTTTTTTAGTATACATTTTAGCAGCTGTGAAACAAGGGCTATGGCAAGCTACTCGTGACATTGTGCAACCCACAGTCAGGAGCAGCTGCTCTCCTTGGTGCTCCCTGGGGTGCAGTGTTGTACCCCAGGCTTGCTGTAGCTTGTTGAGCAGCTGGCTAGGGCACACGTACATCTGCTGGTGCCCAGTGGCCCGCAGAAGCAGCCCGAGAGAGTTGTGAATTCCCCCTTCCTATATGGAGCATGAGGCTAAGGCTCCTGGCTTGGCCTGAAGGGCTATTTGTCAGTCACCCTCCGTGACCAGTTCCTTTTCTGTTCCAGGCGGAGGCGATGTCAAGATTGAAAGTCAGAAGCTGAACTTCAAGGAGAAGGCCCAGGCAAAGGTGGGATCCCTCGATAATGTGGGCCACCTTCCTGCAGGAGGCGCTGTGAAGGTAGCGAATGGGACCAAACTGGGAGGGAGGTTGTGCAGCCAGGGTGGAATCCCAGCAGGGTGGTACCTGTCACCGCCCTTCAGCCTCCTCAAGAGTGCCTTCCTCACCCCCACGCCCCTAGCTGTTGTCTCATCATTCCTCAACAGTCCTGAGTGAGGCAGAGGAGGTGGAGAGGCCCCTGCCCTGCCAGCTGGAGACAGTGTGTTCCCAGGAGCCAAGGTGTCCTTCCATAGCCATCTCAAAAGCACCATGGGCTGTGCCCTGGCCCCAAGAGGGTTCTCCCGCACATGCGCTTCTCCCAACTGCAACATGGCGCAGGGAGCAGCCTGCTTGTGGCCTCATGCATGTTCAGTTACCAGCCAGTGCAGACCTGCTGCTTCCAGGTGGCCTTGCCTGTTGCCCCTCTCCATGGGGCTGTAAGGTCAGGTGGGGAGGGGCAAGACTTCCTGTCCTCTGTGCTGGTTGGGTCTCTCCTCCCTCTCTTCCTCCCCACTCCTCTGTGAGACCCTTTGTGTGCCAAGACACTGTCCATTCTTTGTGCCATGTCTTGGGGGCTGGGGAACACTTGTGATGATTCAGTCACTGCTCAAGGATGGTGAGGCCAGGGAGAGGGTATGAGAGCACCTCTCCCATCCCCATGTGTCCCCCTCCCCCACCTCCTTCCCATCTTCTGTCACTGCCCTGGCTCAGCCCTGGCCCTGCCTGCCCATTCCTGTGCTCCTGGCTGCCGAGGCTCTCAGTCCTTGTGCCCCACCTCTTGTGAGGATTGCGCGTCAGCACTCAGGCTGTGTGCCTTTTACTTTTTTTTTTTTTTTTAATATTTATTTTTATTGCAAAGTAAGATATACATAGAGGAGGAGAAACAGGAAGATCTTCCATCTGATGATTCACTCCCCAAGTGAGCGCAATGGCCAGTGCTGCGCCGATCTGAAGCCAGGAGCCAGGAACTTCTTCTAGGTCTCCCCACACGGGTACAGGGTCCCAAGGCTTTTGGCCATCCTTAACTGCTTTCCCAGGCCACAAGCAGACAGCTGGATGGGAAGCTGGGCTGCTGGGATTAGAATCGGCGCCCATATGGGATCCTGGCGCATTCAAGGCGAGAACTTTAGCTGCTAGGCCATGGCGCCAGACCCTGTTAAAGGCTTTTTTAAAGAGTTGTTTTATTTATATTGGAAAGCCAGAGCTACAGAGACAAGAGGCTACCCTGCAGGCAGGTGCAGACCAGGATTCTCACTCAGGCTCTTGCAGCCTCATGGCCTGAATTCTTTTTTCTCTCTGTGAACCTTCTTGTCATGATTATTTGTGGAGTTTTCCAGTAGTGACCCTATTTCACTTTCTGATTAAACCAACCCTGGACATGATCTGGTCCAGAGCATAGGGGCTCCAGCTCACCAGTGACTCCCACTGTCATTGCTGTTCTTCTACTCAGTGTCCCTGAATGTCCTCCTCCTGTTAAGTCCTCCAGGTCTCTGAAGTCTTTTGGGTCCCACCTCCCTGCCTCTTTGTGTCTGGAGCAGGGACCCTCCCTGAGTTAGGGTCCCTTGTCACACATGCCATGTGCTAGGGTCCACACCTGCAGCCGTCACCATCCCAATTCCCTTGTGTGGAGAAGCCAGTATTTCTCACCTCAGTTCTCCAGTTCCAGAGACCTCCTGCCCGCTAGGTCGAGGGTACCAGTTGGGCAGGGGCAGTGGGCTGGGGTTCTGTGTGAAGTCACCGTCATCACTCATTTCACCCCCTTCCCGACTGACCCTGCATTGTCTCCCCATGTTTCATTGTAGACTGAGGGCGGTGGCAGCGAGGCCCCTCCGTGTCCCGGCCCCCCCGCTGGGGAGGAGCTGGCCTGCTCTGAGGCGGCGCCTGGAGCTGGCACCCCCACTTCAGCCAGCGGCCTCAGTGGCCACACCACCCTGTCAGGGGGTGGTGACCAAAGGGAGGCCCAGACCTTGGACAGCCAGATCCAGGAGACAAGTAAGTGGCTGGGCTCAGCCTGAGGGCCAGCCAGGGACCCTGCCACTGGCCGCAACCTCAACGCTCCTTTGTTTTCTGACAAGAGTGTGGCCTCAATTTTAACAAAGTAACCTTTTATTTTCCAGGCATCTAATGATGACATTCTGGTCTCGTCTTCCATCTCCCCTGTGTTCCCCTCTTGTCTCCCGCGTCCCCCTCTCCTTCCCCTCCTCCCGTGTCACTACAGATTGAGACCTACAGGCTGACGTTCCGGGCCAATGCCAGGGCCCGCACCGACCATGGGGCCGACATTGTCTCCCGCCCTCCCCACTTCCTTGGTGGCCCCAGCTTGGGCTCCCGGGCCCTTGGCCACCTCCCCCGGGCTGTCCACTAGAGCTAGAAGCACTTGGGTGCTGGGCTGCCCTCAGGTGCCCCCCGTTCCCGTTGCGCTTGCTTAGGGCAGCAGCAGCAGCCCATCCCTGACGGTTCCTTCCACTCCCTGCTTCGTCCCCGTTGCCATCATCCATCACGCCACTGCTCAGCCAAGGGCGGGAGGGTGGGGGTACGGTCTGAACTGGGATCTGCGTGGGGAGGACCGGATTCCAGCCAAATTCTGAAGAAACTGACACATCCCTCCTCCCTGGAGCAGTGGAGTTTGCTTCCACATGGTGGCCAGGTGCTGCCCTGTCCCCTGGAGCCCTAGAGCTCAGTAGGGTGCCCACTGCTGCAGTGCAGGCAGCACTAGCCCCACGCTGCCTTGCCCTAGGCTAGTTAGGGTAGGGCTGTCTGTCCTACTGCTACTGCGTCTGCCAGCTGCTCTCACACACGCTTGCATTTTACCCTTTTCTTCTAATAACCTAAAACCTGGTGGGGTAGTTTGGCAGATTGAAGCCATGTCTCAGTGAGTGTCCTCAGTAGGTGTAGAAGGAGATGGGGGAATGTCCTTATGCCTCTACCTAAGAGGATGTCAGGCATCATCGGGGCTGTCCTGCAATGGGCGGCCTGGGGCTTGGAGGTGGGTGGACAAGGACTGTGGCCTGGTGAGCAAGTCAGGCACATGAGAGACTGATCCATGTGGCCTGGTGCTGATGGCGTTCTGCGAGTGTGCTACTTGTCTAACCCTGTTTTGGTGCCTGCCCCCATTACCTGGGATGCAGAGTACAAGGCCAGGCCTGGAGGAACAGGGAGAGGTATGGAAGTCAAATTCCTTCAGGCCTACAAGCAAGTCTAGGCGTTGGACTCTCAAGCCCTCTCACTCAAGGAAGCCTGGGGTGTTGGAACAATTGTGATGGGGAATCAGGTCTGGAAATTTAAAAATCAAAGGTGTAAGGCTGAGGCCACCCTACTTCCCTGATGGCCAGCTTATCCGGGAGATCCCAGCATGCCCAGTGTTAGTCTAGGAGCGGCTGTGGTGTTCCTGGAAAATGTATTGACACAAGATTATCTTATTGCACTTGTACTTTTTGTATTAAAGTTTGCATGGTTTCTAATAAAGGATTAAAACCAGAATTTGTAGTGAAGTGGCCTGGGAGTTCCCAAGGGCTTCTCCAGAGGGCACCTTCTGTGATGCAGCATTGCTCAGATGACCCCTCTGGCCCTTTTGTGCTCCATCTAGCTCTGCCCAGGCATCCCCTGCAGCTGGAGGTAAGGTGGAGGCTTCACTGTGCCTCCCAGCTACTGCCCATTTCTGAGGCTGCAGTTCCTGCAAAGTAAACAGAGTCTAGAGATTGTGTCATTGTGCCTGAACCTTAAGGTTCTAGTGTTCTGTCAGCACACAAGAGGCAAGATCAAGCTACAGGAAAGACATCTGGTAACCCCAGGGCCACAGAGTGCTGTGCAGTTTGGCCACATGAGCCCTCCAAGAGGGCAACTATTGCTGTTCTTAGAGGTTGGCTGGAGACAGCTCGTTTGGAGGGTCTCAGAGCTGGAGAATATGAACTGGCTGCCTGGCAGGCAGGGGAGCAGCTGCCAGCACAAGATGTGCACTGCTCTGCAGCCACTTGAGCAGGGGACATTTCTGTGCTTCCAGATTTGCTTACTGCCCCAGCCCAACCTTCCTGTGTCAACCCATCAACCTGTTGTAATGGTTTCAAGAGTAAATAAAGCTGCCTGATATCTTACCATGCAGGCCTGTGCTCTTCTGTCTCTACTACCATCTGTGATAGCTCATCACCAGGGAAGAGCTCAGCCCCTCATCAAGGGTTTCTGGCAAGAAGACTGTGGTCCAGGCAGGATTGGTAAGAAGCCACTCCATGCCCAAATACATCCATGTTGGCCAATGGTGGCTGATTGGAGGCGCTGTGCAAGCATGGAAGCTTTAACTTTTGAGGGTGGGGAGTCTATAAACCCCTCTACTCTGAGGCTCAGACCTGTCCCCACCACAAAATCCAGTCCCCACAGTCTAGCTTGACTCAAGGAACTGTGGCCCAGGGCCAAGACCCCAAGAGGATGCCCCAGTGGGTAGCAATGCTCACAAGGGATAAATAGAACTTTATTTTAAATAAACATTTGCACTCTGTACACAGCCCCAGGGAGGGGCTCAGTCGTCCGCTGTCTTGCGCACATCAAAGCTGCCACAGGGTCCTCGGAGTAACTCTGCCAGCAGTGCCAGCAGCTGCCCATGCTCCTGCTGCACACTGGGGGGAAGAGCTGCTAGCTCACTGCGCAGGCTCCGCTCTACCATGCGGCCCAGGGCCCGTCGCAGTTCCCTCAGCAGCCGCACAGTGCGTGAATCACCCTCCAGTCGCAGAAGGTCACTGTCACTCAGTGAAATGGTGGCACGGCGCCCGTCATCTGTGGAAGAGGAGAAACCAGGGACTTGGGTAATGCCAGGCCTTTGAGGACCTGGACCTGTAGCGGCCCGCAGAGCGCTGCAGCCTTGGATCCACAGCTACCCACCACGGATGTGCACATCGCCATCAGTCAGGAGCAGCACAGCCAGTGGGTGCACCTGGGAGGAGTCCCGGACAAAGACGCTGCCGTTGGACTTGACTGCCATGAAGTACGTCAGCCATCGGCTCCGTAACCGTGTGGCCTCCCTGGGGAACATAGGCAGGCTGTGGTGAGACCACCCTGCTTGGCCCTACCCAGCTACCAAATGCACTCAAGCGTACTACACACCTGTTAATGGTCGACTTGTGGAGCAGGATGTTGCCTGATTTGGTCCTATATGTGACACTGTTGGGCTTGAACTTCCCCTGCCGGGTCACCTTACCCTGCCTCACCTGCAGGGTTTTGCAGAAAAAGATGGGTGGGGTCAAGGAAAGAAGGTTGTGTGACAGCCAGACCCTTGTCAGCTCCCACCCCAGCTGCTGCACCTGGATGAGATTTGGGTAGAGACCAGCCATAAGCACACCCTTCACCAACTCCTCCTCCTCACTGTACTCATTGCACTGGGCAGAAGGTAGCGTGCAGTCTGAGGGTTTCCCCACCAGGAAAGCCTCATAAATATTCTCAGAGAATTGCTTGATGAGTCCTGCAGAGAAAAGCATTGCATGAACCAGGGCTCAGGGACAATAGGCAGTACAGTGTAGGTGAAAATGGGCATGAGGAGTTGGGGGGGGGTAGGGGACTCTGCTGACCATGGATGAAGCGTAGGCTGGGTGCATAGAGCAGGTATTCCTCCAGGTAGTTCTCCCGGGAGCTGCGGTCCTGCCAACGCAGCACCTCCTCCCAGCCGGCTACGGCCCGCACAAAAGCCAAGTGGTCGCTGCCGCTGTCATGGCTCAACAATGCCTTGACCTGGGGGGTCGGGGGTGGAGTACCCAGGGTCACAGTGGGTCAGGACAAGATATGGAAGGCTGGAAGGGATGACAGAGGCCTTGGGTAGGGACTGGGTCTGACCTTGTCCACTTCCGCTCGGTTCTGCAAGCTGCTGCTGAAGGGGTCTCGGGTGAGACAGGAAACTACCACCAGCAGTGGGTGCAAGCAACGAAAGATGGCAGCCAGCACGATGGCCTTAGCCAGCCGGGGATCGGTGGAGATGTGGGCCAGACGCTGCCCCAGAGTAGTCAGGTACTCTCGCTGGTCCAGAACCCCTGCAATGGCTGAGTTGTCAGTCCCACCTGAGAGCAACCCCATAACCTTAGCCCAGCCCCTACTCACCGATCTCTTGGAGCAAGATCACGGCCTCATCTACCGCCTTGATGTTGGGACTGTCCACAGCCTTGGAGAGGAACTCTACAGCCTGCAGAAGGAACAAGCCAGAGCCCCCCGCCCAATGAACCTACACCTTGCCAGCCTTCTCCCAAAGCCAGCCTCATCCAACCCCCAATCCCTGCACACCGTCTTCTCAGGCATGTGGATCTTGGCTTGCAGCACCAAGTTCTCAAGAGGTGTGCGCAGGATCTCCGGCACTTGGAAAGGAACCATCTTCTCCAGGCGGCTCCGTGGGAACAAGTGGTAGGCAAAGCCTGACTGACAACGTCCTGCCCGGCCCCGGCGCTGGATCACATTTGCTCGTGACACCCACACGGTCTCCAGGCAGGATACCTGGGGGAGGGGGCAGGTGAGCAGCTACATGGACACAGCAGGATGTTTTCTCTGCATCCCCATTCCTGGAATAACTCAATGGCCCCCTTGACTTGGACAGTGAGGCCCCAAGGGCGTGGCCTTCTGGAGACCCAGAGCAGGTGTATGGCAGATGTGGGCTAGGGGCCACCTCGGAACTAGTTATTCCCCCAGGGACTGGCTGGACCCAGGAAGTAGGTGTCACCTTGGTCTTCAGGTCGTATCGTTCCTCCTTGTGCAGACCACTGTCCACGACATGCACAATGTCATTAACAGTGATGGAAGTCTCAGCAATATTGGTGGCCAAAACAATCTTGCGCACCCCAGGTGGAGGCTGCTGGAATATGGCCTTCTGGTCCATCATGGGGATGTTGGAGTGCACTGGGGGCGAGATGCACACTGTTGAGGGCATGCACCCAACCACTGAAGCAGGGCAAGTATGCGGCCCCATCTTATTGAAACTCAGGCCTATGCCCAGCACAAACTGAGGCAGCTGGATCACCAGCATGGGCCTCGATTGCACTTGGGTGAGTTCCCAGAACTTGGGGCAAGGCCCCTTTGTAGGGGGTGAATGCTTCCTTGTAGCAGGCTCTCACCTGGCAGGATGAGGTACTTGCTCTCGTGCAAGCCCAGGGCCTCCTGGAGGCGTTGCTGCACTCCTCGGATCTCCTGCCACCCAGGCAGGAAGCACAGGATTCCACCTACAAGAGGCACTGCAGGCGTGAGCAGTTGCTCCTGCTCAGTTCTCAGACAGGGCAGAGGGCAGAAGACAAGCACCTACCTGGCTCCCCACAGGCATCAATATGCAGAACCAGATCGGTTACGAGGTC